ATAAGAATACTATCTCAGAATAATTCACACAGCGTCCATAGTTGACCTTTTGTTATGGGTACTAGACAAGTGATATAAATACATAGAAAACACCCTGACTAATACAAACGATCGTACTCATGAATTCAAATGTTTGTACCCCACGAAAAAATGAACCCGCGATCATCGGTAGCAAAGCGGTGAGCAAATCCGCTAGATGACCGAGACCCTAAATATTAAATGATATATTTTTTGCTTTTTTGCTTCATGCCTACTGAATACTATCTAATGTCTAAGTTTTATGTACTCGTTTTCTTAGCTACACACCTGGCAAACATTTAGTTTAATATATAATAATAATAAAACAAAATGTTTGTAAATATTTGCACATTATTTATATTATACGATAAGGTTTATTTGACAACATTAATTCACTACTGTTGTGATGGAATAAAATCAGCACAGGTACTGCACTGCACAAACTCTATATATTTTATTGAGAATTTGGTCTACTTGAAGACCAACCTGGGAACTAAAATGTGAATTTTTGTCTTTCAATTACTTACCAATTTTTTTATATAAATTTTCAATAATAGCTATATATATAGCTAGTACATACTACAGTACACCAACGATATAATATACAAAATAGTTTGTTTAGTGGCGCAAAATAACTTTTTTATTACTAAAAAAAGTTATTTTGCCACTAAACAAACAAATATATACAATAAAATCACGATTTTAAATTATGGATTTTGTAATTACTAATTATTATTATGTAAATATCAAACAAAACTCTCTCAATAGTAATGAAGTAAGATTTTCTCGACTCAACTTTTAATCATCCCTAGGATGTAACAAGAGGCAACTATAAGAACAAAGCATATCACTTCAGTGTCGACAGCCTCGGTAGTTTAGTGGTTTAGCACACCACTTTACTATCCGATGGTCGTGGGTTCGATTCCTCGCATGGTACAAACATTTGTATTCAAGAGTATGATTGTTTGTATCGATCTGGGTGTTTTCTATGTATAATATATAATATGTATTTATTTACAAAAAAAGTGTATTGCATGTATTTATATCAGTTGTCTAGTACTCATAACACAAGGTCTGCTTAGCTTGGGACTAGATGGCGCTGTGTGAATTATCCTGAGATATTATTATTATTAGTGTAAAAGAGCAACCTCAAATTAAATGTAGCTAGATGTTCAGCCTTAATAGTTAGTTAGTTAGTACCTATGCTAATGTCCTCTTATTGGTTACAAACACAGTGATTGGGTTAACGGTAATTTTTATATCTTATAATTAGGTTATTATTCTAGGTATGGCATTAATATTAATCACATACTACATCTACAATAACCATATAATTGTAATATACCTGTAATAATACAATTTAATATAGTCTGTCACCCTACCCAATACATTCATATACACTTAAACAGTAAATTAAATTAGATAATTATCTTAAATCTACTAATGTAGAATAAGAAATATTTCGCGATAAAAAATAAATCCTGTTGCTATCAATATAAATCATATTGAATGATCCGTTACTCTTACCGTTAAGTATACAGTAACAAAGGTCGTCTAGGAAATATGCAAGTTAGTATTAATGTAGATTTCAACATTAGATTGATGTGTAATAAGCCTCATTAGAGAGATAATTTATTTTATAAGTAGGTAAGTTTTTATGTGACTGCAATGGTACACGAGTTAACAGCCACCTAATTAAGTGGTATGCTTACAGCTTAAATAAAAATAAACAGTACTACGAATATTGCAAAACATATTCTAATACCCATTATGCGTTATCATTTCTAGGAATCAAGATATTAAAGACTAAACAAAATTACTTACGATCTCCCGATATTTCGACGCCCTTACAAATCGCGATTATTGTAATTTTTTGATGTTTTTAAATATATATATGTAAGTAGTTGAGAAGGTAAGAAAAATACTCGGAGTACGTAGATCCAAGACTTCCGATTGTTAAAAAGTGAAGTAATAATAAAATGGTACAAGAACAAGACTCTAAATACAATTTTACAACAACAAGACAAATTTAGAATATAAAGATATTTTTACAACTGCTATATCATTATGTCTGTCCGTCCCTATGTATGCTCAAATCTTTAAAACAACGCACGTTTTTGAAGCGTTTTTTTTAATAGATAGAGTGATTCTAGAGGAAAGTTATTATGTATAATACATGTACACCCGGGTGAAGACGGGACGAGTAGCTAGTGCACTTATAAAGTTAAGTCATAATGGTAGAGGTACTAGTTACTCATAGGTATGCAATCCAAAAACTGGTGTAATCATCCGTAATCTAAATCTCAACAATAGTCTTCATGAGAGTTAGAAGTCAAGTTAGGTAATTAGTTTACTGTATTAAATATGTAATGTCAGCAACTCTACAACCATAACCTAACCCAAGCACATTACAATGGTAAGGCACAATACTTATTAAGTAAATCTCGCACATTTAAGCGAAGGTAGTGTAGTGCTAGCGATGAGTGCCCGTATTGCTATTAATGTACCATGTCAGATCGACATCCACGCAGACCCCCTGAATTTTTTTTTGTCTATTCCTGGTGAATTCACCTCGATGGACTAAGTGACCTAACTTCCTGCTTATCCTTGTTCGATTACTTTGGTGGAGTGGACAAGAGATTTTCGGTAGTATCTATCTTGTATGAGAGAGGGTGTGTAAAGAAACACACCCTCTCTCATACACAGATTCATTTCATCACACACAGAGAGATTTCACGCAGACACACACACACATACCACGAAACTTTGCCTCAGAAAAACATTTATTTAAATTTTTTTAAGATGATTTATTACATAGCACAATAAGTCCTCGGAAAGAGCCTGGAGATCTGTAGTACAGGTTTCGACTTAGTTCAGACTCCAGACTCTCACAAGGAATAACTTGTAAGTTTAAATATATATTCTTTATTATTTTGTTTAATATTGTAAGTTTCCCTGTGAGCAGTTAATAAAGATTATTATTATTATTTATTATTATCCTCCTCTACTAGTGCCCCGCCAGTATATACAATATCATCTAATTAAAAAGCTGTATCCTAAGTATGTATTCTTAGTTTGTAATATACATACACCAACGTTATCTAATTTGGATTTCTTTAAAAAATAAATGGTCTAAAATACATTAGGGTTTGTGCAATATTGCTCACTAAACTGGTTCGACAACTTAATGGTCCACCTGATAGAAAGTATATTCTGTACCAATATTTATAAAGGCAAATTAGTAGTTTGCGTTTGCGTGTGTGCAATTTATAAACTGTGTACTTAATATAAATAAATGTTCGTTCAAACGAACATTTATTTATTTCGTTTATTTAATTCAGAATATTCACAACTCTGAATACACTATGGTACCTAACGCATATTTTTTATACTATGATTTATTCCAAGGATAATGCACACACCGAAGAGATGACTATTTAAATATATATGTATTATAAATTTTAATATTTATAGCTAAAAGTTTCTTTGTTTTAAGATCCCTTAAATCCTTAGATACTTTTATGACGTATATTCTATTACTAAAATGACTTTATATTTTTTAATATAATGCCTACAGTAATTTATTATATGCACGAGTATATAATTAAACTTAAATTTAATCATATTAAGTTAGGAAATTGGCAATAAATTCATTATGAAACCTTTGTCAGTGGACGTTTTATTAAAAGAGATGCGTATTGAAGGGATTTTTTAATTACATTAAATAATACATTTTTGCATTACAATCTCCAAGTAAACGTAAGTATTATAAGTTAGGTAATAACTTGTTACCGCACAATTTTGCAATAGGTACCGGTAGGTACGTACGTTGACTTTCGTATTTGTAATATTTACCTACAAACGCTTTGAGTGGACAAAGATTCACAAATTGATTTCCAATACAAATACAATTTACATACAAGTACAGTAGTTAAATTGTATTTAAATTAGGCAATAAGTTATTATTGCTGTTATAACTGTTAATAATATTATAAAATATTTTAAACAGATTATTTTATTTCTATCTTATATCCAAAAAATTTGTAATCCTTAGATTACATTTCAAAATATATAAATTACTTGACATAAGATGTTGTTTTAGTTTTTTGTTCATCCAGTATCTTAATTAGGATAAAGGAGCATATCACCATTCAATAGATTGTATGACTCTCGAAAAGATCTAAAATCAGACTGTAAAAACTGTTTTAAAAATAAATAATTTAAAATTTATTTAAATTAAAAAGAAACAAAAAACGTGTTTGCATTGGTCGATCGCCAAGAGGTCGTGTGTTTGAAAATTTATCAAAATTTTATTTTCGACTAGCCTTTTTGTTGAATATTATTACATTTTGTCATACTTTTATAGTATATGTGTCGTGTAACTATAATTTAACAGTAGATTCATTACAATATATAATCATTTAAAAATTAGTTGACGAGTCCTAATTGCCACCTGCATAACATAACCCGTCTGAAATTTAAATCGTGAATATTATTTAATTATAACAATAGTAGATTTATTATAGTATATTATATAATAATCTGTGAACTTTTGAACAGTTATTAAAAGAAAGTTACAATAATATTTTATTTTTCTCATAACGTTTCTCTTTTTATTCATTTTGAATATTAATAGGGTGTATCCAAAATACAGCACAGAATAAGTTGTAATGACATGTGTGCATACCTAGAACAATGTAGACATCTTAGTTTCTAGCTTTCTCTAAAAACATGTCTGGCATTCTAATTACCAATTTATGTAGATATAAATTGCCAAATTACTATATTGTATATAACATACATAATTTCTAATCCTAAATATAAATGTTATTTAATCTCTATCTTTAATAATAAATACTGACTTGTAAGTACTATTATTTTCACTCATGTAGTATTATTAATTTATTAAGAAAATATATATATATATAATAATTAATATTATATTATAAATAATATGAAACTATTCACAATTATTCACTTACCGTGTATAATAATTAAACCAATTAACAACCAACGTTCATCACTGCACATAAGCTTCACAGTCCAAGTTTGTAAGTCACGAAGTACGAACAAGTAACGTTTAAACGCAACGTGAATACATGTGCGCCGACGTTTGTCACCGTCGACGATGGTAAAGCGATTGTGTTTAGTTTATACCGGCTTATTACTCTTAAACTCTTTGCTATTTCGACAAACCGCACATTGCAAGCACCTAAAAAACTTGATTAGTTTTATAAACTGGATCTGAAACATATTAAACTTGATATCTTTTAAACTTCATGACCGTCTGGCTTAATAATATACTTTGGAACATTGCCTCCTAGCAGTCTAGTGTTCGTTAGAATTGTTTCGTATAAAAATCTATACAAAATTAGTATATTATCTTGAAGACACTCTGCCGAATGCAGAAATAATAAACAAAAGCATCACCAAAACGGTAAAATCGACCACATATAAACATATGAATGATAAATAATATTAATAAATACTTCTCCAAATAGCCAGTTGTATGAACCAACTAAGCATATTTCAGTTTCCAAATTCATTCTGACAGAAATGAGAACCTTTTTGTTTTGGAATGGGTTAAAAAGAACATAAAAAACTTCACAAATCAATACTGTACTTAATTGTTTACGCTAGTTTTCAGACATTCCTTGTCGCCTAATTCTGGGAGAGGTGCTGATTGAGCATTGATACAGTGTGAATTACACATGAATGTTTTTCACATTTTTTTTTATTTTTAATTTAAGTATGATCTTACTTATTTATATGTAATAAGTACCTTTGAAGTTGAGGTATTTAATATATCTATTGAATAGTGAGTATAATGTGGAAAATATAGGAAATAATTAAAGTCGAGATCGATACTAATAGCGATATATAGGAGAATGCAATAAAAACAATTTGTCAAGCAAATAAGATTTTACTATAATATAAAATGTAAGAGTCCGCTACAACGCCTACAAAATTCTCTCTACTACTATCGCAGATGGAATAGTCTTAGGCTTTGTCAACTGTCCACGCCGTTAACACAGTACTTGTTATGTCCATATTTCGGTGAGTAGTCTCCAATATGGCAGTGTTTAGACTACTGACGTCTCGGATTATTTATATTGTTGGTAGGATGAAATACATAAATAAAGTGTTTCACCTAGTTTTAATACCCACATATTCAAAAACTACTAGCTAACCGGATACGTGGAAATCATTTTTATTGTTCACATAAAATAGCGTATGATCATGCGATATCCCGTTGACAGTGACGTTCTATTACAATTGACGGATGGCAAATTATCATGCAATTTGCACCTAACTATCATGATGTGCTACGAATATAACATACATCATGGTAGCACAATGTTGTGATGTTATTTTAATATTTCATACAGTTTTCCGTATTTCATAAGTAGGTACTAAAAGATAAGATTTATTTAGGAAAATCTTCATTGTTTAATAGTCTCGTATATGACGACTATTTTCTCAATTAATTGTAGGATGATAAATTATATTACTCTAACTGCATAGCATTTACGTCATCGCCATTCTTGCTTCTTCTTCGGATTTTAAATATCTAAATTTATAGATATTTCATTAACTTTTATTCCTTCACAGATTTTCCTCTTTCTATCCATAGAGGACACACACAGATAACTGTGTTATTTTATTTATAAATGAGTATAGAAACTATTACACCGAGAATTCTAGTATGAAACCTAGAACTGTCATAATTTAGTGGAAATGCTGTTGTATAATTAGATTGAACAATTAAATAAATTGATAAAGAATTGAGACAAGTCGTTGCTGCTGTTTACATTTGTTTACATCCACAATTCCAATATCATCAGAATCAAGAATTAATAGTCTATCCTTTCAATATATCTGGTCCTTACTGGAAATGACTAACACTTTCCGTTCCTACAATGGGTATGTGTACTAATAAATGTCGTATATGCCCTTGAGAACGGCACTTTAGTGCACGCACACAGAACTAACAGATCTGTGATGCGTGTGATGTGTGACCCTATGCCTTCTGTTATTACCTTTAGCATCAATAGGCAAAAGGTACTTTAAAGCATAGGTAAACTATTGTTACCTAGTAGTAACCTTGGTTCCGTAGTCCTCTCATTAAACTCAATAGGACGGAGACTAACTCAAGTGTCTGTAATTCAATAGAGTATACTTATTATCAGACACATCCTATGACATGCAGTGCAAATAGTCTGCAGTAGTTTTTCAATTTAAAGAAAACTACACAATTTGTACGATTTTAAATATATTACATTGTGTATACCTTTAATACTTTGTGCAAAGCCGTCGGCCGTTAGCTTCTTTTCCATGCAAGTTACATAATAAATATGTTCATATATTTTAGCTAGTAACCTAATCTTGCAAACATTGTTTTAACCATATTTGTGTACCTTATAAGGTAATTGCAGTAGCAAACGGACCTACGCTTGATGATAAACGCTAACTTAACCAGTCTCAATACTCGGTCACTTATTGGTATCAAAACTATGCTATATTTTAAGTTAGACTAATTTCTCTAACTGAAATCGTATCTATTGAATGCAGTGGGGACGGAATTGTAGTAATTGACCGCTATGTAGTCCCTATGTGCTAACTGGCCTGATTTGAAGCTCATTCCATCATTCTTCACTAGTGCATCGAAAGCGCATACTGATATCATCCATAAAAAATACTGAAATTATCTAGTCCTATTTTAATTAATTTCGTTCACTTATACTTACTTGATGATTGATTTACATTGATTATTTATATCTACGAGTAAATTATGGTACTAGGCTAGTCATTTAGACCAGATTTCACAACTGAAAACCGTGACATACCTATTGATTGTTAGATAACAAGCAAGTAGTCATTAATTGTAACATATAATATTATAGCATCTATCTATAAGTACTATGATATCACATTTTATACTCATATATTTTTTTTTACATTGTCCAAGTTTTATAAATAATCTACATTATATTGGAAGGCAATATCTAGAAAATGAACGAAATTATTTCAATCGGGACTTTTTTTCTGTAATTGTCCATTTACTCATGTATATAGACAATTACAGAAAAAATAGGCATCCCTTGATAACATGATGCCCATAGTGTTCATATACTATGGGCATCATGTTCATCAAGGGATGCCCGCGATACCACTAATGAGTTGCCATTCTGGAGGGTTAAGATATCATGCCTCTTAACCTGTAATTTTACTGCCCCATCTCACCTTTTGAGCAAAATACGACTTATAAAGCTAGATGTTCGGTAAGATGTATTTCGGATGAATGGTGATGCAGACGATGGTATAAAGTAAGTAAATAACAATATGATAACAAAAAAATATATATTCATTTTTCTATTTATATTGTATCTTGTACTCACTTATATCTCGCAAATTTTAAACATTTAATTAAGTGTATGATATAAGATAGGAACTTATAATTATTTAAATAAAACATTATATTTAGGTATAATTATTTAATATTGTGTCTACAAATGTATTGTTATATGTCTTCTATATGTCTTACTAAATTGTAATTTATGTATGATATCGCAACCAAAACATATTGTATTATTTCAATAAGTAAATTTTATTACTGAGATAATATTTGATTTCGACGTCATATGAAGTTAAAATTCTTAGTTATCGAAATGTAAGCATTGACCTTAAAAAGTTTGAGCAGAGTATGTACAATTTTTTTCAAATAAAAATTGTTATTATCCACATTTTCATTAGATATTTATAAAATATTTTAAAATGTGATATAGATACTTAAATATACATCGTAATAAGATATACTCATCGCTTTTAATTCCAAAGTTCCAAAAGTTATTTATTAGAAATGTACACCAACGATACGATATACCATCTTCTACAAAAAACAAAGAAGAACCTCCATATGTATGTACATACTTATGTTTACTTGTACATCTTTGATAGCCGGATATTAAAAAATACGACTGTATATCGACTTTTGCTCTGTGGTAAATATACATAAAGATGTTTTATTAATGCATATTTTTCACCTTTGTTGTAAATAAATAGTTGTATTGATTTTGACAAAAATATCATGTTATTTGGTTTCTTATAACAACAATTCAAAACTAAGGCTAAGGCTAAGTAGTCACGAGGTAAGTGGCTTTAAATTCAAAATTATAAAGTAGGTAAGTATTGAGTTCTGAACATTCATTTTGTCACAGTGAAACCTAATCTTTCCTTAGATTTTGTTTCAACTTTATATCAAATTATTTCAAGTCATGTGTCATTGTATCTACTTATATAAATGTAGATTTAGAAAATTTAATGTTACATATTTTAGGGGTGCATATTTCTAATTAAAAATTCACGGAATACTCTTTCACTGGGGATTCAAGTAAACAACTTCGACGGATTTAAATTCAATTCGATTCAATTGTACATTTGGTAGCAAAATATTCCATAATTTGATTCATCTATAGGTAACATTTTGATAATGATTATATTATATATATTATAGTACCAAAATCAAACTTTCTCTTCGTGAATACCATCTACTTCGTTGTGTTTGCCTTGAGGTATTTCGTTCGTTACAATATCTAAGGAACCATTTTTACTTAATCCACACACGGACAATATTCCACCACCTGCTCTATATTTTTTCAAACAGTAAAGAACTACTATTAAGAGCGTTAACAACAAAACTATAAGACCAACAATAATAGGTGCACTTTGATCCATATCCTTCGGCTCTTGAGTAAACTTTGAATTCGCTTCTTTAAGAAATAGTTCAAGGGGCGAGAAATATTCCAGTATTCCTTTTGTAGATAACTCGGTTTCACCAGTCATCGTCTTTAGCACTGTCCTCCAATCTTCACTTGCTCCCAATGCCATTCCATCACTGTAATATTTTTTATCATAATTACATATATACACTGTCAATTATTCATTGGATTTATCTTTTTTTATACTACATGTTTATTTATTATTGGTATTAGCACTGCTCAAAATCTATGATAAAATACTTAAATTTGATTACAATAATACGTAAATGCTCAATACCATCACTAATAACATTTTTATATATTGAATTATAATATACAGAATATGTAATTGAATTACAGAAATCAATCATAATCATTTATTTGATTTATTACATGATAAGCTTTTGCTATTGAATAATATTTCTTGTTACGTGTTATAACTATTTTTAGACTAGGATTTCCGCATTTGCAAATTTTTATACGCGAACTTAAATATCTTACGGAAACCTTAATCAGTACTAATAAGGAGCTCTACTGAGAATTGTAACTAAGCACATTGAAAAACTACAGTGTGAATGAAACAATTTTATTTTTCAAATGTTTAAATCTATCTATATTAGCATATTAACACCGCTTTACGACCGATGGTCGCGGGTAACACAAACATTTGTATTCATGAGTATGATTGTTTGTATCGGTCTGGGTATTTTCTATGTATAATATGTATGTATTTACGAAAAAAAAAAAAATTATCTATGTATTTGTATCAGTTATCTAGTACCCATAACACAAGCTTTAGTTAGCTTAACTTGGGTCTATATAGCGCTGTGTGAATTGTCCTGAGATTATTATTATTATTATTATTATCTATATTAGCATATTAAAGCTAGAACATGTTAACATTACTGTAACCTTAGATATAAGGACAGAATGTTTATTTATAGATTACCTGAGTAATTTTCCCGCTTCCTTTACACCGCGTATGGAACATTCGTGCAATGGTCCTGTATGATTAGCTTGCTTGCAAAGTGACGACATAATTTGAAATTCCAATACATGAGAGATCAAGTAACTGTACAAAAGAATATTAAATATTATTTCGTTGATATTATAAACACATATACACCTATGTATACTGATCCTTTCCTTCTACTAATCTGTCTAATTTTAAAGTAGATACTATAATAAGCATATGCATTATACTCAATATACTCGTAATCGCTACTATAAACCACGAATAATTTATAAAAGTGAAGACAGTTTACTTGAAGGAAAGTTGAATCCTTTGGAAATTTAAATTAAAAATTAATCTTTGCATTTACAAGTTGCATTTGAAACCTTTTTTACTTTAAACGGCAGATGAAACTGCGAGGCGTCACTTAGTAAATTTATAATGTAGATTGATTTTACTTATCATAATCTTATAAAACTCAACACTAGGTAAATGTATTTTATTTTTACTTCATATTGAGTTTTTTATATTATTTAATCGATTTCACTTGAGACTTTAGATTTGTTTTGCAAAGAATGTAATATATTTTTTTTATTATAATTTTATTATTTCTGCAATTAATATATTGTAACGATTGATTGATATGTATTTAAGGAGTCACAAGAAAAATACTTACGTAATATACTGAACATGAGATACTACATGGTATTTAGCTGCTGGATCTAAATCACTTTCATTTCTAGGAACGGGAGATGATACGCCAGTTTCGTTGATTCTGAATAATAATATTTCTTATATGTTAACCTAAAGATTTTTTAATGTAACTGGAATGGTAAATAATTCAAGGACCCTACTGGTGGGAATTGGCAATTATTACGTATATACCTAAATTAACGCACCGAGTACATAAGTAAAGCTATTGGTATTCTTTGGTATTCCACTCCGAAGAACCTCTGACATCTGGCCTATGTATCCACTAATTTCACGCATTTACTATTTACCTAAAAGCAAGCCGCTTACCGTTAAAATAAGACAAGTAAAAGTGAGATAACCCCGCTAATAACTTGTATAAAACCTACCTCGGTAATAAAGAAGGTATCAAAGAATTGTAAGTTTCCTTTTGCAATCCAGAATTTTATTAGCGCAACGTGGTTATATCGGAATATTCATGGTAGGTAAGAATAATTGTCCTTGTCACACGGTCGGAAGTTTTATATTATGTACATATATGATACACAGGTGGTTTCAATCAATTTAAATATTTACTAAGTAAGAAGAAATTGAGGAATTATACGTTTAAAACTTTTCATAAAATCTTTATTGTATTTTTTCTAACACCATATATTTAATAACCTACGAATTAAACATAATTGGATTAATAAAATTGTTTGTTTATGCCATAATCGTAGACATATTAATATAATATTATAATTTTAGGGAACTGTCCAAAAAAATCAACATTAAGTATGTCGGTATGGTCGTTAGTGCTGTATAAATACGAATTATTTTGTAGATAAAGTGTTTTAATTTGTCTAAGAAATATAAAAATCTTTATCTAATTCCAAACCCCCTATAATTTAATTATTGTAGAATTTGTAATAATTTTATGCAGTAACAAATTAGAAAATAGTTTCATTTATTGTAATACTAATATTATACCGGAAGATAAGATGCAGTCAAGGTGAGTTAAGTTTACTTCTATATACTCAATTATTATCATAGCTTTAATCAATTTGCATGAAATTGTAGGTCAAGGCACAACTGTGGAAGATCAAGGAGAAACAAATGATAAGTAAAGGACAAGATGACAAGATCAACCGACAGATTATTTCAGATACATTATAAAAAATACAATGACACTACAAAAAATTAAAAAAACAGAACCGTAATGAACTTTAAAACAACAATAGGGAAAATTATAGTTACGCACAAGTATTTCATGCACAAATTTATCTGAACATGTAATAATAATAATTTCAAGTCAATTCACACAGCGCCATTTAGAACCAAGTTAAGCTAACAAAAGCATATGTATGTATATTATATAACTGCTAAATAACTTAAATTTTTTTCGTAATTACATAGACAACACTCAGACTGATACAAACAATGATACTCATGGATACAAATGTTTGTGCCGTGCGAGAAATCGAACCCGCGACCAACGGAAGTACAGCGGTGTGCTAAACCGCTCGTCACCAAAAGACCACTCGTCAAAAAAAGGTATAATTTCACTTACTTACTTTTGTTCTCATACAGTGTACTTGTTTAGAGGTTGAAGCATGATAGTAAAATAAAGATACCACGAATACGGAAATATGGAGTGGACCTCTACTAGATACGGGAAGAAGTTCAACATATACAGTATATGTTGAACTTCTTTTTTTTAATTAAATACCTATTTCTTTTGGAAGTCATATTGAAATTATAGGATACCTATAATTTGTCTGTCTGTTTCGAATATAAAAATATTGCATCAAGGTTTATTATCGAAATCTTCCGAAATGACTAGACTTAATTTTTTGGTTTGAAAATAGATCATTGGTTATTTTTTACCTTAGGTGTGATGACAACGTTCGTCGGCTAGTATTAGAAACAATTTAGAGCAATAATTTCAATAAATTTAAAATCATATTCATTTATAAGACTCAGTAGGTATATGTCTAATTAGATATTAAATTCTTATCATATAAATTTATTTACTACCTCAGGTCCCACCAATGTTGATTCCAGTTCTCCAAAGAATTATTGCCGAACACATCCCAACGCCATTTGTCCAATACATAAGCGTATGCCATCAATGGAAACTTCTCTAAAGCAAGCCAAAGTAGATGATTCACGGTAACTTCTGGTCCAGTCTCATTGACTAAACCCATTTTTTTTAGATTTTCAGGTGCACTCAATTGTACAGCGACAATATCTGATACTGCATCATGAAACGCTGTAAAAAAATTAAACTGTTGATTAAGGCTCACCTAACACATTATTAATTTTCATACCTTTATATATTAATTTTCATACAATGCAGTCAATTTCAAATTTTAGCAAAACAAACTTCTTATCTGTTAACTAATTCTCTACTTAAGTTGTTTTTATTCATCTTTTATAACATCAAAGGATCCAATCTATAGCTATAACTTCGTAACTTTTATTAAAATTTCTTCAATAATTGAATACAATAATAAAAAACTCAGACCTGGATTAGGTCCATCTCTATATAGCGGAGGTAAACGCCTATAATGCTTGAAATATTGAACATGACCTAAAAGTCTAGCTGCTCGCGATAAACCAACCACTACATCAGTAACCTTCTCTCCGCACCATTTTATCCTGAAATAATAAAATGTATGAAATGAACATTTTTGTGATATATTTCGGTCATTTTTGTAGTTCAAATTAATTATGAGCAAAAATATAGTGAGCATTAGGTAAATAAATTTATAAAATTACCCAATACAAATATTTAAAGAGATAAAGTATTAGAAAATAAATATACCTACATATACAACTAATATAATTATTATTTAATGATAATAGCAAAAGAAAATCTCTATTTTGATAATGTAAATGTGAATAAAATAAAATATGTTGTACTTATAGTTAACTCCGTCACACATATCGTGACTTGAAGGCAAACAGTTCGCAGTGGTCATTGTGTCTCTAATGTTTTTATAGGAGTCATTAGCACTTTCGAATCCCAAAGATTGATGAAACTTGTCAACTGTATCAAATAGATCTTTAGAATGCATATTCACATTTGTCAATAATTTAGGTACCATATGATTTGGATATGCAGCAACTTTCGGGTATATAGCTTGCCACTCTTGGGCCCACAAGTTACCTGAAAGTATAGTAAATTATAGACTTGACATGATTGCATAACAGTATACTCGATAGTACAGCACTATAAAATATATATCTATTATAAAAGTTTTTTTTTTAATTATACTTATTTCTTTATTATATCTCTACTTTTTACAAACAGTTAGTTTACGAATAACGGTCATTGAAATTATTCTTTATATTAATTTGAATACATCGCAGTACTCCTATTCAGGGATTAGAAAAATGTATGGAATTGTAAAAGATAAACCAAAAAACTAGGGGCATGATATTATCACTATATTTTATACACATAATTTATATTTATAACTGTGTGTAACTTACCTAATATATGAGCTGGAATAGTGCTGTCGTTTTGCATATCTTTTGTGTAATACTGTTGTAATTTAGCTCTAACATAATTGTGTAGTTGATCGTAAAAAGGTTTAATTTCATGCCATATTCTATCAACTGTCTGCACAAAATTGTCATCTTCAAAAGCATATCTCCACATGTCCCCAGCATCAGTGAAGTTTTCTAATTCAGCTACTCTGTTCATTCTTGTTACATAATCTTTGAACACTGGTCTGATTTTCTTTCCAGTTGTATCACGATATGCTTTCCAATAATACGATAGCTCTTTTGTGTCATTACTAGTTTTGAAAATTGATATAACATCTAGAAAATTGTATTATACAAATTTAAACATAAATATTCACCGTATCTTTTCAAAGATTAATAAATTATAAACTTACATTAATTATTTACTATAAACTAGTAACATTTATATTTTAATATTACCTGCGGTTTATTAAATTGTTCAATAACTCACCACTCATAGTTTTGACAGATTCATCTGTGTTACATGTTGTGGCGTTATATGCACACACTGTCACTCGACTCCAGATACGCTGCATCATATCAATTTCTTCACGTTGCTAAAATTAATAAAAAAATATAAATAACATATACATGCTAAATAGCCATTTTAACTTAAATACAACTTCAGATTCTTTTAACGCCTAGAGAGGCCTGTCAGAGGATAATAGGTACTTGTAAGTCATTCATTTCGTATTCTATTTAAAAAACTTAGAAGTAGTTACGTATCCTTAAAAATTTTATTACAGGATATTGAACACCTAATAAGTGATTAGCAAATTAGTCCACCTAACTTGTAATATTATAAATACTAGTTTATACTTTTACATCAAATATGATCTTACGTACCTTACTTTGAGGCATTTGAACATTAGTACCTCTTTCTTTTATAATTCTTAATTTTCTTTTTAATTTTGAATCATTTGTGAGTTGTATTTTATCTAAATATTTTTTCTTTATAATATTCCAGTACTGTTTCTTAATTTCATCTTCTTCTGCAGCAATACGAACCTGAAGTACAAATAGATATTAAATTACTTTCTACCAAAATTATAAAGTAATAACAATGTATGAATTGAATCCATGTTTACCATTCTATTCTTTTTAATTTCATTATTGATATCAGTAACATATGCCCATAATGATTCTTGAGATGTTTTACATACATCTAAACTTAATTTATCCATTTTTTCCATAAATGTTTCCAATGTAATATTTTCTTTATCCAATGCGTCTAGTTGTTGTTTAAAAGTATCAACAAAATCAGTATTCTTTGTTATTACTGAATTTGGATCCAAAACAGTTCTCATTGCGTCATCTAAGAACTTTTTATCTTTTTCTTCGATATCTGTCTCAATTTCATGGCCACTTTCATCAGACTGTTCTAGAGTTTTGTTTCCCTTTTGCAAGCTTCTATCATCTACAGACATATCTGAGGTAGGATTCGTTGGAAACTGAACACATGTGGCCATTGTAACTAATGGTATAATACATAATAAGTTCTGTAACAATGAACTTGATATACATATTTGAAACAACTCCTTGATTAATGCAAATTACTAGTGCTTTAAATTATAATTCAGTACCTTTGTAGTTGTTTAATGACAGGATAATGTATAATAATACACTATTATAATCCCGATAAGACGAGTGATAACTATAAGGACAATGAAGCAAACGTAACGCCTGTCGTCACGTGAAAACAATTGAAAACTATTCCGACGGTTGCTAAATAATGATCGTATCCTTTACCTTGCCCCATGCATCTAATTTTGTGTCGTGTATAGTCCAATATAACATAATATTTTTACGATTAGGTCATATCTTTTTTTTTCGATACTTACACATTAATATGTAAATAGTAATTTTAACTAGACACACTCAGTGATATACATTACTAATTGAAACTTTTTCACTGAACTATGTGATTTTTCCAGGGTACCCCATATAATACGGGTATAATTAAAAATTAAAAAAGATTATATTCGAATTTAGTACTTCTTTTTGGCAATCGACATTTGCCTTTTTATTATTAATTACGTTTTCACCGAAATCTGCAAATTGCTTTTCTTATAACTAACTAGCTGTTACTCTCAATTTCATCTGCTTTTTTTAATAATAGATAAATCTATGTCATTCCTAAATATCAGTAAAATCTACCTTCAAATCGGATTTCATATATATCTAGTATTTATATGTAAGTATATTGTATCCACGTGAATTTTGTTCACGTTTTACTGTTACAATTTACAAATCATGGTTGGTATTGATATGTACGCACAACTGAAATCTGAGTAGAACAAATTTTATTGCGATCAACAACGTTATCAGCAATTCTGTGAATTTATTTAGATTTTCGCAAAATGAATTTCCTATTAATTACACATACACATAGTCGTTTTATCATAAATATAAATATAATAAAGTTGTATCCTGATTTTAAGAGTGAAATTTAATGTCAAAGAAATTATTGGGTGTCGCCGTACCGCATCACATTTCTCAAGAAAAGAATAACAGACATGTATATGTAGGTAACAAAGTGTATGTTATGATTCCGTGCACATATATTTGACGATTGTCACTTTCTTTACGTGGTCCATCAATGTCACTGTTTGCCAATATTTGTAATCAGTTGTATAAACAAATTCATACAAAAAAGTGACTATTGTATTCAACAGCAAATAAAGGTATCAGTATGTTTATTTATGTAAAGTAACTCATTAGATATGGATTTAACTTTTAGGTTGATCATATTCTTACTTTCAATCACGACGATCTAAATGCATATTTTAAATTTATAAATTAATTAAAAGAAGTTATAGACAACATAGTAAAAATTTGAATGGTCTAATCTTAATAACAGCTGTAACATATTAGACAAGTTAAGCATACTCATGGTTCAATTCTTGTCTACCAGATAAATTGATTAAATAGGTGGTCCCAGTGAGTATTTACATATCTCTCATACATGTTTAAGTATATTTAATAGTCTAAAGTAAATCGTTAAATTTAAAATAAAATGTTAGCACCCACATCAAGAAACTAATTTCATATCAATATTTTTGTACCAATTCGTTGTATTTGTCAAGCCTTGCAAGTAATTACAATTCAAATAAACTTATTAAAATAAAATTCATTAGCTAAAAGTTTAGAATACCTACAAATGGCTTCATCGTGTTTCAAGGTAGGTAGTCCATATAAAAACAACAAACAAATGAACACAGTTCTAGCACATCACCCACTACATCTTCAATTAATCACATACAAAGTAGTATAACGATACTGTTTCACCAAAACCTGCCCACCGACAATGTTCCTTCAAGTTCCAATACTCGTTGCGTTGTTTGCGAATTCTACGTACTGTTTGATCGTTTTGTGATAGATTTTTCGAATAACAAATGAACGGTTTGTTTTCAAAACGTACAACGGTCTGCGCGACCCGCCTGCGTGCGCGGGCGCATTGTTGTGTCACAACGAAATGCCTCACTCAATTCAATAGCAGTTATGTTCTCGTGCGACCGGATATTCAACTGACACCTTATTATCATCCTGTATCAGTCTTTGATTAACCTAATTTTGGATGATGTAGTTTAAAATCATTATATGGGTAGTAGGTAACTTTTATATACTCAGGTGCTGTAATAATTCCCCATCACGAGTGGTGTCCCACATGGTAGGAAGAGAATGCAGTCAGGACAAAAAAATTAAACACGCTGCGGTCGACATGATATGGATCTATTGTAATGTATGAAACCACACATGTAATATGGGAATCTTTATTAATACTGTACCTATTTTAGAAATAAATTTCTGACGTGGGCATTTAGTAACTTTATATATTGTAATGTATATATGAACTTAGTGTAAATAGATATGTGAACTTCTTTAAAACCTACATTATAAAGTTAGTGGCATGAAACTAGTTTCATTATAAGTTTCACTGGTAAAATACTGGTTGTTGCCCAATACTGGGATAATAAAGGGTTGTTATGTTAGTAGTTATACCTACTAATAATTTGCAATATTAAGAAACAGTAACAATATCTGTACTTACCAAATTTAAAAATAGGTGAAGTATTACAATACTATACTATACATATGTATAGTCGGTATATATATACGTATACTGTCTGATCTCAGTAGGGAGTTATATCATTTTCAAAAGTATTCGAATTGATGGTTCATCCTCTTCTTCTTTAGTGCCAATGGTAAACTAAATACTATATATTTACACGGAAACGTAACGAGATTTATGAAACAGTCTTTCCTTTTGTTCAAATTTTCCTTCATCCAGTACGATGGACTCGAAGGGCACAACAAGAGATGGGACCTAGTTTGTGACGGAGCTCCGATATATCCTCTATAACAGTATTTTTATAATGTATTATTTTTTCATATTAAATGGCAATCTTAATTCACATCACGTTTCTGCTTAATTGAATAATATAATGATGAGTCGAGTCTGCTTAAGAATCCGTCTTAGTAACTTGAATACGTCATATTAGTACTAGATGACACGTTCATATTGTGATTATACGTAATTCAATATAAATATAACGCACTACGTTAGGTTATTAAATATTATAAATAGCAATCTTTATGATGACTGTTTATCAGATTTCATTTCAATTCGTCCAAATTTTATGCGTAATTAAGTAATAAGTATCTTACAAGGTATCATTGTAGGAGATGTAAATGTATAATACTAATTATTTTCTTTTAAACATTTTATTGCAATAATAATGACTATAATATATAATTACACTAATATATATTATATAAATTTTATAAGTATAAATGAATTGTGTACAGACAACCGTGTAAAAGAATTGTGGAAAAGAATTATAATTCATATAAGTTTCAACAATGTAGCTACTAAAACAAATTCATACATTAGACCATACTAAGTATGTATATGAATGATCAAAGAACAAAAATATTGTTGTGTTTAAAATATAATTATATATAATTTGCTCATATTTGTGTTTATATCCTGGACCAGTTGCTTCATATCGTTCAGTACATCTGCAAAATTCTTATTGCTTTTTCAAGAACGAACTGAGAATCTCGCCTCCTGCTCGGTCAATTTCATTATACCCATATGGCTCCAATGTCTTCTTTGTTCTGGCAAACCAGTTAACTACATTTTCGTATGCACTCAAATCATGCCCAAATGCCTGAAAAGTGTTTCATGTAAAAATTTAATCAATATCACAATTTTATTAATTGTAATATTAAGTTTGATGAAAGAATGGCAAACAAACAGGTCTTGGTCCAAATAAATGTCTACACGGGACTTTTACACATATAATAATAATAATAATAACATTAGACAATCATACTCAAAGCAAATAAATAAATAAACACTATCTAGTCCCAAAGTAAGCAGAGCTTGAGTTATGAGTCTAGACAACTGATATTAATATGGGGTTGTAGGTATATTTTTTATAAATACATATATAATATACCTAGAAAACACGTTGAAACAAACTGATGGCCCATCTGATAATACATGCATTGCCATTCTCCTATGAGTACGGAGTACTAAGATGGCGTGACCATACTCTGTAGTTTTACTACCTTATTGACGAACCCTTCATGCGAAACACATCTTACAATCATTTTACACATATTGCAAGTAATTGGCTTAAAAATACTTAATAAAACATTCAACAGTACAGATATATTTGTATAATTACTTACTTCTAAATTTGTTATGGTTACGATAATAGAGATATCCGCTATAGTAAGGTCTTCACCAGCAACATAAGCATGTCCCTCTAACATTGTATTTAGCCATCCAAGTGCCTCATTTAATTTATCAACATGTTCTGGATCCATTTCGGCTCCTCGAAACAGAATTGGTATCTGTATGTCACAGATAAGACATGGGCGTTGAAATTATAAAGAGTTAAATTTATAAAAATATATATATAAATTCCATTAAGTTAATAATAGCAGAAATAGGCTCGGCAACACGCACGTGACACCCCTGGTGTTTCAGGCGCTCATAGGCTACGGTAATCCATTTCCCATCGGATTGGCTGTATTCTTATTTGCCACTATCACAATATAAAAAAAAAAATACATTTTCTAAGTGTTGACGTCCGACCGCTACAAACTCTGATGTTTTAATTATTTTTAAATTTATATTTTTAGAACTGCTTATACCTATGTCATGTACTTTGATATTTCACTTATTGTCTTATTAATTTTACAAGTTCGTAGTTGCACTGCAGTATATATTATACTATCCAAATGTATAACTACATGTTCACCGGCCCTTTACATTTAGGTTTCCAAAAGGATTAACTATTAAGAAATATGGATTTGCAAGTTGTTTTACAATTGCAACCTAATATTTCCATTTATAATTTTAATGTATAAAGTTTAATTCAATATCAATTAGACTTAAATACCCATTAAAAAAATATCATGTTTCACTGTAATTGTTGTAGTGTCCAGTTTTATTTTTTATTTAATTGTACAAAATCATTTAATTGTCATAATCCCAAGCTAATTGCATTTTAAATAAAATAATGTACATACTGTACATATAGTTCGATTGTTATGACCGTATGAGAGATACATATATGTACATACTACATCATTTATTTACTATATAATAGGTATTACTTACATAAAGGTTTGCGTATCTTAAAAACAGTGTACCAATATCAAAGTTAAGTCTCTGATCGACAATAGCCCGTAGCCGAGGATTTTTTGGGTAGAGAGAGTCATCCCGGCCGTATGCGTTAGCCAAATATGCCATTATTGCACGACTGTAAGAAAAGTTGGAAAGAAAACTTTTGTCACTGATAAGTGATATAATATAATAAATTTAGGTAAATTTATTAGAAATCATATTGTCCTGTATAAATGTCTTGGAAAACCATAATCTAATGAGAAACTTGTATTAAGTTTATGTTCAGAAAGTACCTACCTACTGTTTTACAAACATTTTTAACAAATATTTTCTGAATTACTTTTGTTTGTATAATGTCTGTCCAGATAAACCGACAAGAGATTTGATTGAGTATAAAATATAAAAAAAAAACCACTCACCTCTCCCAAAGTATGAATCCATTATCATCCATAGTTGGTACTGTGTGTTGGGGATTCATCTGTAATAAAACAAACATAAAACACTAAAAATCCGAAATAGAGAAGAATAATATAAAAATAACACATTGAGGCGTAAAATTTTGTCTTATCTATATTGTCAAAAATTTCTGTAACAACTCCTACCTTCATATATTCCGGTGTCATATGCTGACCTTCCATAACATTGGTAAGCACCAAATCTAAATCCAAGCCGAGGACCTTCGCTGTCATCATCACAGCTCGGCATGGTGGTGACGGTGGGACATAATACAGCTTGATAGCTTGAACGGGCATTTTGTTACTTTTAGATCGGGCAGCCGCGTTGCTGGAAACAAAATAAATATTGTTATTTAATAAAAATAGTTTTAATAGAATTCATACACGTAATAAATATCATTTAACATTTACTTGGTACCAAGTAAATGTTAAACGATATTAAGTCTTATCTAAACATAATACGTATACTTCCGTTGAATTTTACAAGAGGCTGTGTACTGGTTTATTAAAGAATAAAATCAAGTAGATGCATAAATTAGTTAATATAATATATAGGTATAATATAATAAATAGGTAAACAATCTTTTGTTTAATTACTAATATATTTTATTTTAAAATAGTTCCCTGTACCAAAAAAGAGTCATGCAATAAAAAAATAATCATACAAAAAAGAACTAATACAGATGCTTTTTAATACCATGTAATAGTATCTTGAGGACTAGAAATCAGTAATTGTACTGTAGAAACAAAGAAGATATCATTTAATAATTTTATCATAAAATTGTCGCTATTAGGTAATGTATAAACCTCCACCACCATAATACTGTTGTATTCCCATCACCAATCGGCAATTAATATATTTATACTTACCCTATGCTATTTGTCACAAAAATCACGCAAATAATATGCATATAACTTGCCATTTTGAACTGTATATATTGAAATAGTTATTTATTTTCTGAAACTATAAATTAATAATGACTTAAAATAACCTGATTTAGAGAAATTGTAATATTTCCTATTCATTACTGTAACTAATTTCTAACAGTTAATGTTTAAAGTACCTATTAAATATAAACTGATATTCAGTGCTCTACTAATAATTCTCAATGTCGTATACAGATTAATCTCGATTTTATATACATTATCTAACTTATATTACATTAATATTTCACATGTACAGTACCTACATCTAATAATAAATAAATTTAGCAAAATTCATATTAATCGAACCACTCTATTTATAACCAGATTGTATTGATCTTGATAATTTTTTTTTTTTTATATATAGAAAAATTGTACTTAATATAAATAACTAAAGGACTATTTTAATATTTCAAACTCACTTTGCGGACTGAATTTTTTCTATAACAGTTTTGTCCATACATTGACCCAGTTTGAATAAAATTCTATGACCACTCAAATAAAAAAATATGAATAATTTAGAATTATAAAATATCTGAATATTTCACAAAGACATTAACAGTTTTAAATGAAATTCTGATTTATTTACATTTAAAAGTCGAAAGAAACCGCACGACCAAGGTGAAACTAGACGTAATTTACAGAAGAAATACAAGATGGCTTGCAGAGTCAACTCTATTCTCGGCGACAACTGATTTATAACAACAGAAATATGATTGCCCTCAGTTTTGTTATGTCTATAGTAGCCATAGTAACGCTGGGCGGGACCACTATGGCTAGAAGTCTAATGATAATGCAAACCTGTGTAATCATATTATATAATTTCAGTCACCTGTGCTTTATTGTGAATGCAATTATGTACGCAATACAATGACTTTGTTCTGGAAAATTTCTATGAGATGCAATGCAATGTGTACCATACGAGTACACTTTGTAAAAACTTATCTGTATAACTTTTGTATGCCTATTTCAGCTGCCAAGAAGTTTACTTCTGACCTGTATTTCAGTTAAAGGGAGAGATAATACAGTAAAATTATAGAATAAAAGGCATAAAATTGTAGTTCTCCGAAATAGCCTCACATGTTTGATATAATGTGCGTCATATGACGATGTTATGTCGTAGTGCTGTTCATCTATATGGGCCACACTTACCACATACCATCAAATGGTCCGTCAGCTTGTTTACCATTCCAATTACATAAAAAAAAAATAGTACACCAAAATGACTATTCCATTATAGACTACCTGACATGTATATTACTATACTTACATATGTATATTTAAATATTAGGTTGTCCATTGGAACTTTTATTAGCACTCAAACAACTGTACTTGAAGTTGATTTGTACTCATAGGTGCAGTTACTATATAATATTATTGAATTTGTTAATTTTAATGAACTACTACTATTATTAATACTACTAACTACTATTTTAATATCCTATAGATTAATCGTACCAAAGAGAATCTGTTGAAATTCTATTATGCATCTCATTATTACATTAGTAGCCCTAATTGGTAATTACCTCACGTTTAAAATCACATTATCTCGTGTATCATGCATTTACAAGTAGCAAGAGAAGTTAGAACTCATAGTACATTATGAGATATTAGTATAATGAGCCATAATTCAAAATGACCTCATGTTTACAATCATATGCGTACTAGATACTTTGTAATTAGAGGCTGTAGAGCATTGAGTGTCACATGCTGTATAATTTTACTCAAGTTGCAATTTAACATTGTGTTGCACTTACCCCTTCACCTAGGTACTTCATAATAAGGACATTTGACGGTTTAATTTATATCACAATTAATTTCTAAGTAAAGAGCAATTATAACTCATTTCACAAAGTTCTTTTTTGGGTATATTTACATTTCTGACTGTAGCGTGACCATCTATGAATTAATTGAATTAGAAAACCTGTATCTTCCATTCGAAATAAAATTAAAACCTCATAAACAATAAACTTTATTATTTACTACGATATTTCTTATTTTACACTTCATATCTGTGATATATTCTATAATTAAATGTACTTTAAACAATAGGAATTCATATTTTATACTGGAATTCTTGATGATCACCAAGTCAATAGTCCACGTTTAAATTAAATTAATCCAAAGCTTCCACAGTCGACGCGTTGCTTGCATAACTTGTATTATCAATCCCACTTTTTGATCCTTGATTTCCTCGATTTGCATCTTGGCCTGTTGTGTCTAAACCTTCAGTTTTAATTTTTTTAATCCGCTCAACATTTTCCCTGCTCTCCACTGTTTCACATGTGATTTTAACTTTCTTACTTTTTGTATTACCCATTTTGCAAATCAGATCTAACAGGTCTCATTCGCCACTAATCGTCCAATATATCCACTTTAATAATGTTAATCAAATAGATTAGATCTCTGTAATTAATATTCCAATATTATATGATATAGCGTGATTCGTTCAGCTTGCTCTTGATAACACTGACGGCCAGACATATAAAAGTGAAACAACTGTTGCAAGATATCGGGTGCAAACATTGTTAATGTAGTCACCTGTATGATAAGGCGACAATGACACATGCTCTTTATGAATGTACATTGACCGCATATCTATATTTATGTCCTGTCTTACATATTAAATTATAAAACTTCTACGTAGTTTAAAAATATTTCATGTAAATGCTAAACAATAGAACCTAAACAAAGAATATGAGTATTAACAATTTGTTTTTTATCAGGCATGTACTTACTATTGTTTTTGTGTAAAATGGTTTATAGACAACTTTAAACTCAGGGGCATTGTCGTAGCAGCATTTTACACTTTTAGAACCGACTATCGTCTGCATACTATCAGCCTTTTTGGGAATTCTTTTGTTGTGATTAAGCCGTCACCTCCATTTTACAGGGAAGTATAGGTATAAAAAGATACGAGGGCAGCGGGACAGCACTGAATATGATATTGGTATAAACTGGCTTGAGGAAGCCTAGGTTGCGTATCCGACTGCCCATACCTAGGACTGGACAGGTCACTAGAGTAGGACACAAGTATACGTCACATACAAGTATACGGACACATGTACCCATTATTTTACCTAAATAATAAGGTAATTTTATCTAATATTCTCTTCCTACAAAGGATTATCTATAATACATAACTACGTCATGTATTGTCTCGGAACTTTGATCCTATCGTTTTGGTTTACTTAATGACGTTTAACATTCTTGACTCATCAAGCATTATGTCTCACTTTTAGAATATTTGTTAACGAGATATAGGCTCAAACTACAAATTAAGAATTTATATGAACCTGATAATTTTAACCCTTATTAGACTGAATCAACCTATTAGTATAGATGTTATACTCGTATTATATACATTTACCTACGTGGTCGACTGATATGTGTCGACCTAATAACCTATATCAGTAAAGTGTAGTTCACGTTGGTTTAGTCTGTCGTAGTTCTATTATAGATTCTGACCGACATAAGAGAACATACATATGAAATAATTGCAAATACGGCTACCTTAAACAAATTGAGGCGACCTCTGTAGTCTAACGTTCAAATTTATATATATATACTAATATACTGCTTCGTCACACTGATGGTCAAAGTTCAGCACAAAGCATACATTTCAGTTCGTATGAACTGAAATATATGCTTTATGATATTATTTAAGTATTTAGAACAAGAACGTTCTTACGTATATATCTTATACAACTCTCAAATATGTCCTTCCTTCAGTCAGTCGGTCCTTTATTATGGTATTTGTTAAACCTAATGAGAATTACTGGCAATTTTATTTATTCTTTTATCCATATTTAAAATATGATGTTCTTTATATACATTTTGTTTTATACACTTCTGTCACTGTGCTCTGCTATAATCTCTCTTGTTTTTATTTATTGTTAGTCAACCTGGTATTTTTGTTGGATACGCTACAGAAAACAAAGTCATGTGGATCCGCTAAATTCTAGAATAATCATAATTTTTAGGGAAGTCTTTTCTTCTTTGTCGAAGATAAATTTTACTAACATCCTGACAATGATAAAGTTTCATCCTCATCTCAACAGTCAGATATGCTTGTCCCTACTTTCAATCCGGTTCAGCATATTCAGCATACAATAGAACATGAAAGTCCAGTCTGTGAACAACCTCATACATAACCTGAACTTTTTACATCTGCACAGCCTACAGTCCTTGAAGAATCTAAAACTCTAGAAAAATTAATAATTACTAAATATTTGTTCATATATGTTAAAATAAATTAAAAATAGGTACGTGGAGCACAATGGATGATGGTGCCGATAGCTACTCAGCTAAGTACCTACACACCTAATTAACATTGGTAATCAATTTAATATTATTCTGTTGAAATAATGTAATTTAATGATTAAGTTAAACAATATATAAATGTCTTTACTTAATGCTGATCGATATTAATCATTTTCTCTAATATCCAGCCATAAGTACTTTTATAGGAATTAATTTTGCGTGTCCTAATGAGTTTATGTTATAATCTTAGTATTTATAGATCTATTTTTGCTACAAAGCATCATTTAATAACTTTTATCTGTGGTGTAAGGATACTTAGTTTAAGAATACAGTTAAGGTAAGTTTTTCTACTACAGTATTATTGTGACAAAGACTTATTACTGTCTATGTAACATTACATTTGTAGTCATAATAACTGAAGTGTTTTATTTGATTAATGAATATTAGTGCTAAATTTGTTTTTTTAGTACAAATTATTGTGTTCAACCCGTGTATTAGCTTCACATAATTCAACACGATTGGAATCCGTAATACTCATATATTCGGATATCCGGATATGTAGGATTGAACTGTTAAAATGTTACAGGTGCACCTATCGTACCATACAAAGATATAAATAGATAATATTAAAATATAAAAATATCAAATTTATATCGTATGAATCGAATTTAATTATTTATTGGTTTTTAATTCACAGATGATCTCAAAATATGTAACAGTCACTTTGCTCGCTGTATTAGCCGTCGCTAATGCTGGAACGATCCATAATAATAATAAGGTAAGCTAGATAATACAAAACTGTATAACAACTAAAAATCAAACACTTATGATTCTATAGAACTACATAATTATCAATCTTATGATACAAATAAAATTAAAAGTAGATCCAGGTTTAAAAGTGTAACGTATCATTATCAAAATCTGCGTGTGTAATGTATTATTTTTTGGGTATATCTATAATTTTTTTAATTTAAATAAACAATTTTTAAAATTTGATGACCCAGATGTCTCTAAAATAAACATAATAAAGCACTGTGTAATTTTTAACTATATCAGCGAGTTACTTAATTTTTTATATATGTAGTACCGTGAAATTTTAGAGCTGTAGATTTTAAAATAGAATGTATTTTTTTAGGATTTGGAGACACCAGATAGAGAATCGAGATTATTATTGGAAATTCCGTAAGTATATTTTTACTACACTGTGATTAATTTTTGTATCTATTTCACCTACGAAACAGCTTCCTAAGCTGTGTTTCAATTTGAAGGACACCTTAGTCCTGTATTTACCAAGACCTTACATGACGAGGTATCGTCTGCGGTGCTGTTCATGTATATAGTTATAGGAAATGATGTGTCAGCTTGTTTACATTTAAAGTTACCTAAAAAATGGCAATGATAGATCATATTTTTATGTAACAGTCAGCTTTTGAAGTTAGCTAATTAGTAATAAATAATCTACCCATAATTTGATAAATGAACTCGAAGCTCGATATTTATATTCACAATAAAGTTCGAAATTCCATTTATTCCTTGATTTATTGTCTCTATTTTTCATTTTTAGGCTGCTGGGAGTTTTGATTGTTAAGATGTTAAAAGTCGTCTGGTTTCTTTTATCAACGGCTTGTACAGTTATCGGCTACAAATTAGTGAGTATTAATATTTGTGATCCTATAACGACAATATAGGTTTATAATATGTAGTTATTCTTGCTGTAGATATGTTTTAGTTTACATATTACAATTTAATGTAAAGTATTTTTCTTATATTTTAGAGGTAACAAAAATATAATTTTAGTTTTATACGCCTCCACAAACAACAATAAAATTATGAAACAATTATTAGTAGAATGATATAGAAGTAATAATGTTGAACAATAAATACTTCTTACATTTTATAATTCAGTTATTTTGTCTTCCAGATCAATAATATTTATTCTGTAATTGTTACCGCTCTTTTTAATTTTAGAGTATAATTCAGTTATTTAGCTATTGGGTAAATATGCTAAATAACTGAATTATACTCTAAAATTAAATTAACTTTACTTATTTTAGGCAATTTTGGCATTAGCGGCAAAAGCAGTACAGTGGATCTTCAACAATAGCGTTACTGTAATCATTGGCGGATTACTAACTACCTACTGGTTTTTGTAAACTGACGAGTTTCTGTAATCTCAGTTTAATAGCAAAAGAGGATACATTTGTTACAAACGAAGGATAGTCTTATGCCGCAAGACACAGACAACGGTGTTGCGAATATCTCTAGTTGAATTAGAAAGTGATTAAGATTATTTATTGTATTACTGCTAAATTAGATAAATGTAATAATTTATAATACATGTATAAATTTAGTTATCATTATGATCTCAAGGCAAGTTAATTGTATATTTTTGAGAATCCTATACCTACTATTGTGTGTAGTCCATTGTTAGCAAATATACAATTTATTAATTTAAATTTTTTATTTTTAGTTTAATATAATACCTACCCTACCTATTATACCTACCACGTTCATTGAATGAGATTTTACATAAACAATTAAAACTATTCTATAATAAATTCAAATATTATATGAGTCACATATACGAGTACTCACCCGGCTTCGCCCGGGTGTATCTGTATTGTACAAATAAACCTTCCTCTTGAATCACTCTATCTATTAAAAAAAAACCGCTTCAAAATCCGTTGCGTAGTTTAAAAGATTTAAGCATACATAGGGACCGGCAGCGACAGCGACTTTGTTTTATACTATGTACCTAATGATGATACTTTAAATACTCACTATAAAATAATTGTGTGGTATGCATGTAGAGTACAACATAATTGTATGATAAACCCATACACTACAATCAGAATTGTATTTAATACTTCTTTTGTTTGCGATCGCAAATAAGCCCTTTAATATATTTAAGAATAAAATTTTCAAATTTCAAATTTGGAACGTCAGGCACAAAACATCGATGTTATTTTATACACAATTTTGCACTCCTTCTCGAACATTCCGTGGCGTCATTATTAAAATCAACATAGGTATAATATATTCAAAATATATTTTTATTTCAATTTAAAACAAATTAACCATTGCAATATTCCTCCAGCAAACATCTTTTATGTAATTGGAATGGCTAACATAACCCACCATAACCGTTATCTATATATATACGTACATAAAAAGCACTATAATAGCACATTATTATGAAACGGCCATGATACCTCATGCTAATCCAGAGGACTAAAATGTCCTGTCTCTTATCTTATTTATTTTATCGAATTAGATGTTCTTTTGCGGAATTCCATTTCATTACTTAATGAATTTATATTATTGTGTTTAATATCTGTACAATTAGCATGTGTGAGACTACAAATGCTTACTGCGGAAACTTGACTACCGTCTTGACGACCTTCTATAATGGTGATCAAACTCCTACCGTTATTGAGTCAATACCCATATTGCGACATATGTTTCGCCTCTGAACGAGTCACCATCAAGAATTTAATAGAGTTGTGATATAGCTTGGAATGTCTACTAGTGTTAACCGTTCTTTATTCTTGTCTAAAAATTTCCTACCCTTCAACTGAAACACATCTTAAAACGCTAGCTGCTTGACGGCTGGAATAGGCGAGACTGAGTTACCAAAACAGATGACTTTTTAACACAAAACAGATGACAATTCCACAGCGTACGCGATATAAGATTTTTTTTGATTTCATATTGGTTTACATTATCGAAGGTATCATACGGATCCCTAACGTTTTGTAAATATTCTATCGCTTATGTTCATCAGATTATGACAATGTAGGATTCTAAGGATAAAATAATTTTTCAATTCGGTCCCGTAGTTCCATGAACTTTATTTAATGTAAATAAACAAAGAATAGTTTTTATTTAAATAACCATGACGGTTATTATTATTCCGTTAGTTTAGTTATTCTTACATTTTTATACATTGCTACCAGATAATCGGGATTATCTATTTGTAACAATTACCATGCATCTATGTCTTTTTTTAAGATAATAGTATTGGTTATTAGTGCACCCGTTGTGAAGGATGATATGACGAGCTTGAAGTAAGGTCAATCAGTCCATAATGATGATTCATCAGGACCTAACGATTAGGATATCCAGAGGACACTCCTTGGAGGTTGACCTAACTGGTCATATTGCTAACAATGTATTCTCATATACACTGACATAATAATAGTCAACTATATCCAAACCATTGTCGGAAGATGACCTAAATTGATAATTATGTAAAGTGTATTTGCATGTCATATATTTGACACTTTATTCATATTATATTTAAAAATAACAACTATTAGAAAATCAATAAATAGATAAATCTATATATACCTACTAATATGTGTACTTATATATACATATTACAATGACAGAGAGAGAACTTTGTTATGAGTAAAGTATTTAAAAAAATCCTTCATTGTTTCAAAGATTAGGTACATTGTATCTTTGTGAACCACAAATTATGTTAAGCTATATTCGTGTGATTCACAAATGTGTGAGAACAACATTTTATCACATAATACCACAAAAACTAAATTAATGAGTTTATTTCAATCTTTTGACTTGAGTAATGTCTTCCACGAACCCACTCGTATCACTGCCACGTCTGCTACTTGCTTGGATAACATATTTAGCAACAGTGAGTATTTAGATAAAATAATAATAAACAACCTTCCTTCTGATCACTGTGGTCAAATAGTTATTTTTCCAAATCACTTAAACAAAATTGGGAAAATTAATTTATTAAAAAGAGACTTGACTAGTTATAAGATAAATAAATTTAAAATATCAGTTCGTAGTAAATTAGATTTTTATCTTCCATCTAATGAACCTAACAAACTTTATACAGGTTTCTTCAATATTGTTTCTAACGAATATAATAAGGCTTTTAACAAAAAAACTATCAGTATTATTAACAAAACAAAATTTTCAGAATGGGCTACAAAGGGAATTCTTAAAAGTAGAAATATATTATTTGATTTATATGCTCAAAAAAAATACCGTTTCGATAGTACATTCGTAAATTATGTAAAAAGATACTCAAAAACTTTTAAAAAGGTATGTAATGTAGCAAAGTCTAATTATCTAAATAAAAAAATTAAAGAGTCCAAGGATAAGATAAGGACAGTGTGGAATATTATTAACAAAGAAACTGGCAAAGTTAAAAGTCCATATAACGATTTTACGTTAAATTATAATGATAAACTAGTAACGTCCATAAAAGAAATTGTCAATATTTTTGAAAATTTTTTCGCTAATATTCCAACTGATATTACTTCCTCTTTGGACTCTTCTCCTAGTACAGCTAAATCATTCCTTATTGACAATGTTGTTTCTTGTCCGGTTACATTTAAATTTACATTTATTGACATTGCTACAATTACTAAAACATTTAAACAATTAAATTTAAAAAATACTGAAGACCATTGGGGCATGTCTGTTAAAGTTATTAACACCGCTATAGATGTTATTGCTCCATATTTAGTAATTATTTTCAATAAATGTATTTCTGATGGTGTTTTTCCCAATTTAATGAAACATAGCAAAATAACTCCACTCTTTAAGTCAGGAGAAAAAACTGTGGTAGGTAATTATAGGCCTATATCTATCTTACCAGTATTGAGTAAAGTGTTTGAAAAAATTATGCTCAATCAAATGCTGCAACACTTTAAAGTAAATAAACTGCTTCACAGTCGACAATTTGGTTTCACGGCCGGTAAATCAACTACTGATGCCGGTGTAGCTCTCATTAAATATATATTTGATTCTTGGGAGAGGTCTCAGGATGCAGTCGGTGTATTTTGTGATCTTTCAAAAGCATTTGATTGCGTTGAACATGAAACACTTTTGCTCAAACTTGAACATTACGGTATTAGATATGAAGCACAAAGCATGATGAAATCCTATCTAAATAATAGAATGCAAGTTGTCGAAATAAATGGTGTAAAGTCTGAGGGAACTAGTATTAAAATGGGTGTTCCTCAGGGCTCTATTTTAGGTCCTTTCTTATTTTTAGTTTACATAAATGATCTTCCTTATATGGTAGAAAAGATAGCTGACATAGTTCTGTTTGCTGATGATACTTCATTAGTATTCAAAGTCAATCGACATATTGATGATTTGGACGAAGTAAACGGTGCTCTTTCTTATGTTTTAAAATGGTTTACGGCTAATAATATGTTACTAAATGCAAATAAAACTAAATGTATCAAATTTACTCTCCCCAATGTAAGGCCGGTAGATTCAAAAATCACGTTGGACAATAAACCTATTAATTTTGTGGATGATACTGTATTTCTAGGTATCACATTAGATTCCAAGTTGCAATGGGGCGCTCATATTACTAAATTAGCGAGTCGACTTAGTTCCGCCGCTTATGCGGTAAGAAGAATTAAACAATTAACAGACGTGGCAACGGCTAAACTTGTGTACTTTAGCTATTTCCATAGCATTATGTCGTATGGTATTTTGTTATGGGGCAAAGCAGCTGATATAAATACAATATTTATTTTACAAAAGAGGGCCATTCGCTCCATTTATAGCATGGGTTCCAGGGAGTCTTTGCGAGAGTGCTTTAAGGAATCAAATATCCTCACCGTTGCTTCTCAATATATTTATGAAAATATCATGTATGCCAGGAAGAATATATTTCAAAAGAGTTAGTGATTGCACTAATAAAAGCTTACGTAACAATAACAAACTGATTTTACCTAAATGTCGTTTGGCTAAAGTTAGTAATTCGTTTTATGGCAATTGCGTAAGGTTTTACAATAAAATACCAGAGTCTGTTATAAATCTGCCAGAAAAAAGATTTAAATGTCAAATAAAACACTTCCTTTGCAAAAAAGCTTACTATAAAATTGAAGAATTCGTTAACGATAATAATGTTTTTCTAGAAAAATTTTAAATACATAGCACTGACAATATTATCTGATTACACTAATAATGAGTGCGTAGCGATTTCTATGTTGATTGTCGCATGCCTCTTACTTGTTACACTGTAATTATTTATATAAAAAAAAAAAAACATCTACACACAAGTTTCTTGCTTATTCTTCTTGTGATGAATCTGCATTCCAAATGAGTGGTAGAATCAAAATATGACTATTCAAAAGTGCTTGTAATGAGTTTATTTGAATAAAGATTATTTCTTCTTCTTCTTCTTCTTCTTTGCTAAACAAATATTTTGCGTTGGTACGGGTACAGATATAATAAATAATGAAATAATAAGTGTAACACTATTTCGGCAAGTAAATGAGAAAATATCTTTTTCTTTATATAGTCGTAGTATGTATTAATATACATACTAAAACTAATGTTTTATTTTTTATGTTTCTAATTTTGTTCATGTCCTTTATAGGTTGGTGCAATAAAGTGTTATAAAAATATATATATATGATTATACTGTCGACTATTTAAATGATTTTCTTAAAGTTATCTTGCTGGTCTAATAGTATTTCATTTACTGTGACAAATAATTGGTATTTTAGTTAAAACCATAAAATCGTTTAAAATAATAATTTAATTAATACTTAAAATAATAATTTACAATATTACTTTTTAGTAAAACATTAGTATTTTTTACAATTAATTTAGATTTATCAAATTCCTTAATCTTTACTTATTGCTCTCGGCGTATTTTTCCAAAGCACTGACAAGAAAGGTTTCAGCAGTTTTCAAATGTTCGGGAGTGACATAACTGCGAAGTTGTGCAACTGGTATATATTCCTCGTAAGACAGTGAACATTTGCCTGTGAGCTTACAAAATCCGATAGCTACAATTGAACCAATCGCGATGACCACAGAATTGGAGACTATCCATCCTATTGCACCAACGGCGAGTGAGATTGCAGACTGTGGAATAAAAAAAATATTTAAAGATTATGCAATAACTAGATAATGCAAAGACTAAAACATAAAGTAAGAAGGAAATATTTTGGAAATATTGGTATGATTTATAAGTGAGGTTGACTGACGGACTGATTTTACGTAAGTATATATAATATATTATTAAATTTATGCGACTGGAATTACGATTTAGCAGTTTAATATATTTATACTTGTTCTCAAACTTATTTTCATTACACAAAACTATATATAATAAGTAGTATTTGAGTTCTTCAAATTGTTATCTGTTACTTACCACTTTATATCCAACAATTGCTTTGATCACTTTCAGTAATAGCGTGGTAGTATCAGGTATTATTCTTGCCAACTCATTTTCCGATGATTCCAAATCTATATAATTCGATGATAAAGCAAAATTCTGGAAAGGAATAGCACATTCTAAATTAACAGAAATTTTTCTATATCCACCGACGAAAAAATGAAATTTAATATTCTTCCAAAAAATGGTGGCGTGAAGTTTAATGATGTATGTATACGTACTTATAGAATTGTAACTGGCATTTGAATATATGTATTTGAATATATATTACATAGAAAGGCCACCTCAGTAGTCAAACAAAAAAATATCAATGCAATAATACTCACATCTGACTGAGATATATGACGAGGAACAGGATCAGCTAGGATCATACCACAAAGGCTAAAAATAACTAGTGCCCGTAGCATCTGCAAATAAATATAATTCCAGTAAGTTGTTGTCTTTCATTTTAATGCCGAACAGTTCAATACTATATTACATAACGTATTAAAATCTGCATGAAAATATTTTAAGTGACACTACAAATTTATAGTGTACACTAATAATTAAGTAATATCAAATAATTAAATATGTAAAAAATTCTTACCTTTATGTAAGTTATGGATATATTTTTCTGTATTTGCTTGCTTCTATTTCACAAATCTGAATGATACAATTACAAAAAGTAGTCAGTGTATTTAAACTAAAAATAAATAATTTGCTGTATTTAATTAATGGTGATAGAAATGGAGGGAGTGGATCATTTAATTAAACCTAATTAATTAATTTGTATCATTATAATTTTTGACTCATTGCATTCCAAAACGCGCTTTAAAATGACACATTATTTAATGTTGATGTATGTTATTAGCTAATTGTTATAATCAATTAAAAATATTTTATGAAAACGCATTTCGCCTGAATATCTATTTTGTCATGCAAAAAAGTATAAATTATTATTATGTCAAATATCCGTATATCCATCATATATGCTGGGTAATTTAAAGCTTAGGCATCCCATATGATGTATATTATAGGTATAATAATAATGAAAATTTATAGTTTATGGAAACCTAAAGAATTCAGAATAGCAGCATGCAATGGAAGATGGCGTACAATGCAAAGTGCATTGAAAAATACTGACCAGTTGATCTGCATTTTCTATTATCTTTTAATGATTTTGTAAAGTAGCACTACTATGGAGTGGTTTTTAGCAAATCGACATCCATTTCAGGAATAGGTACATTGAAAGATATAATTGACATCCGAATTAATGTATCGAATTAAAAGAAATTGTTTTTACATCAAATTGGCCGAAACCATAGGATTATTATAGTCACAAACGTGCTATGACCAATATCGTAACAAGGTTGGTGGTAGTAGTTTATTCATTTGTGTTGTGTCTTGGATCGGTAACAACAGCGGCAACCAGCAGAAAAATTAAGTATGAAACCTATTATTTAATCCTTCAAAAAGAAAAGAATTATGAATAAAACTACAAAAGATTTTATAAACTATACAGACAAACTAGGTAGTTTGTAGTAAAATGAGTCTTTTATCAATAATTTAGTTACTCTCAAACTACTAAGAAACATTTGGTCTGAAACTTGCCGATACTCTATCTAGTTAATGAAAATCGTTGTATAGTATGGTTTAAAATCACAATTCACGGATTGATCGCCGTACCATCATTAAAATTAGTTACATTTATATTTATAAAATATGTTCACGTACTCAAAACTTACGTAAGTTACATTTTTCATAACAAGAAATGCACATTATATTCATAATCTCTACAGATATTGCCAAGCTAAAGAAGAAACGTCATTACACTTCCTACGCGTTTGTAGCCTACTCATGCGTATCCAACAATTAATCCTTTCGAAAGTATACTCTATCCCGAGGCGATAAAAACCATTGCTCCTAAGAATATCCTTCAATTCTTGTCCCTCATAGTTCTTGTTAGCGAAAAAGGGCGAGCATAATAGATCTATGTAGGTCGCAGTGCTACAGGTATTCGTACATAACAATAGCCCGAAACCCTTAATAAATAAATAAAACTTTCATAATATTTTACAAAACACGTATATTTTTTTATTTATAGCTGATCATTATCACCTTTCTTATTGCTATGATCACCGAATAAGCGTGGGTAATGATTATATTTTTTTTTGTTTAATATTTATTTTTATTATCTTTATATATAATAAAATCGTAAGTAGTAATAAATTATATCTGAACTAAAAATTAAGATTTCTAATATATCGTCTTTTTCTCTATAGAAATGTAGAGATTATTACTGAAATTCCGTAATATTTTATAAATAATATGATCTGAGATTAATTAAAAAATATATTAAGTAGGAACTGAGAAATAAGCAGGTAAGTTAGTATAATATAATATAGTAACTATTAAAGAAAACTAGCTTCTTACTACTATGTAATGTTATCTTTGTTACTATTGACCTATTTTCTGATATATAATGTACAAAGTATTTAAGTTGATTTGATAACATCAATTTAAAAAATATGATTAATCTTCATCTATACTAATTATAAAGAGGTAAAATTTGTATCTTAGTTTGTGCAGATCCGATCCGAAACGTTAGCTTTAGCTTCTACTTTTGTTTGAAGGATGATAAACTGGTTGGGGCTGCGGAGGCAGTGCCTCCACTGCGGTGCACGCATTTACATAAAGAGAGGCTGCTTATACGAAGAGACAGATTAAATTACATGTAGCTCGTAGTAGAGGAAACGTTTGAGATATTTTTACTTCACATTCAATGATACGATCTCAAAATGACAATGAATACTAATATATGTGTAGATATTTATCTTAGAATCGAATAAATATCCTTATGTTGTATAATGTTGAGATACTCTTTTGATATTAATATATTTAAAGTTTTCTTGTATTATTTAATCAAAATTATAAAAAAAAAATCTATAATATGTCTCTCGCCATCTTACCAATAAATACATTTTTCCAGTCATAAATAGTTTTGCTACATATTTCTATAACATATAAGCTATATAACATCATGCTATGGCTAATAAGAGCGAAGCAGTAATAAAAAATGTGACAAACATATCATTTTAGTGCTTTCGCTGCTTACGTGTACCTTAACAGTTTAGGAAAATATATGTATGCCGGATATGTTTTCCTTTAAGAGTTCTAAAAAAAGTCTGGGACAACATATATCTCTCTTTTAAGATTCACTTCCTATAACCTTTTTTATGGTAATCAATTTACTTCTAAGATAATGCTTCATTTGTGAAGGTGTTTTTATAAACATGAACCTGCTATTTATATGTTACATAATATACATACAAAGTTGTTTCAATATATACCTATATACATGTACATGTCAAATGTGGTATAGAAATGACACTTTTATTTTAGTCAATATTTTTTGAGAATTTGAAACTAATTAATAGTCGCTACCCTCTATTGAGTGTAAAACTATTACGGATATAGACTCAACGATAAGTAGTTATATCTATAGGTATACAATGAGATTACATATATTTCGATATAACTAGGTAGATTGTATTATATAATTATACGCAATATCATCGTTACATTTTTATTTACAAAACACAATATAAATTAAACAATTGACTAAAACTATATATCTTAATATTTATACATATTCACTTCAATAAATAAATCTCAACTAGAGTTTAGTATGAATCTTGTAGGGATCTGTATTTTCTTATAGCGTTCTCCACAAAATCTGAAGCAATCGCCAATCTTTCAGGTGTAGCGAGGGACCTGATTTCTCTCTGCACTTCAATTAGAGAGTTCACGCCGGATAACTTGGAGCAGAGTGGTGTTAACTTGCATATGCCAAAAGTTACAAGAACACCGACTAATAAAGCTGGACTCTTAAAAATCAAGAATGATGCAACTTTCTTCACCAAGCCAAAGGCGAACTGTAACAATACAACAGATTTTGTAAAATTAAGAATACATAAAAAAAACTTAAATATAAATGTGCCCAATATATTTGGAAAATATACTGTTAAATATTCAAAGTATTTTCCTGATTAATTACTTACAAAGGGCTTATTTAATTATTATTATTTCGTCCTTCACGGGTGTAATCTTTGCGTATAACATAAACATAGGCGATATCATCATTCCATTATAGTAATGCATAAAAAACAATTTTCTACTTTTCTTACTATTGTCTTCTTTTCTTAATATATAGAATATAAAACCTTTGCATTACGAAAATCTATCAATTCTTTTATTGATATGTTTTCCTCATAAATATAGACATAGCAATATATATATATATATATACATTTACATAAATTCGATAATAATCATCAACTTGAACGTGTTTAGATGCATTTGTATGATGCGACTGAACAACGTGAATAAATTACAATCAATTTTATGCTCAGAATTTCATATGTAATTATATAAGTGTACAAATACTTACAGTTGCAACAGTAGCGACTAAGCCCAATTTAGAGACTCCCACTGCTGTTGTTGCTGCCACTTTAGGTACAATAATTTCAGAATAGGCTTTCCCGTAATAGGGTTTTACATCAAATCTTTCTTCCCTCGAACCTCTATAAGGATATGGATATGATATTCCCTGTAAATTAAATAGGTAGGTATACGTTATTTTATAGTTGTAAGTCACTAACGATGTATGTATCGATAGAAGACAGGAGTAATATTTTGAATATAATATCAAACATAATGTAGGTGATTGATGTTCTTATGATAGATGTCATATATGTAAAATGTTTATAAATATACTGCTACATTATCATTCATCATAATGTCAGTAAAGTCAATTGATATTTGTTTCCGTGAAACCATTAAATAATCGAATTGGTCTAAAATAAAAACAAATTAATACGAAACTTACCCGGTATGCACTATTTGAATCTCCGTAATCAATCAAATTTTCTAAATCATCAAAGTCTCTTGACGCTAAAGCTGCGCCCAATGCAAGTATGACTAGAAATCCAACCTTGAACATCTGTAACATAAACATTTATTATTAACCTCAGTACATATAAGTATATAAAATATCATTTTACAGTAGATAATTAAGTAGTACTAACCTTGTCGGTGGTATAAAAATTCAAATAAGCACTAGAACTGCGTCAAATGAAGTACTTTTTGGGAATGTGTAAAAACCATGTCTAACAATCAATAAATACTATTCTTAATGAACAGTTATTAACTAATTTAATTAGATATAATAATGTTGAAGCATTTTCTTCATTACGCAATTGGATGGTTTTTAAATTATAAAATAATTTTGTTGTATATTTACAATCTGTAATATTTTATTATTGAAGAACATTGAATTCTTTCACTTTTATATTTTACTATATATTTGTAATACTTTTAGTGCGTGTTTATAGAACTCATTCCTATCTTGAAATCTTAAATTTTTTTTATATAAACATTAGGTATCACTTTCCATTTTTGATTGACTAGCTGCGCCCCGTATTTATTCGTACTTATACTAAAATATATGTAGTTTTATTATAATCGTACTTATAATAAAACTGCCTAAAGAGTCTTCGTATCATAAATAAACGTATAACAACGTATTATATATATTATTTTAAATTTTTATAATCTGGGTAATCGCACTACATCGTAGGTCACGCCATAATTTTCCATGAGATGAGCTAAACCCAAGCGAAAATCCATTTAAAATAATATACAGATAGAACACCTCGAGGTATATCTTCTATGAATACAATGTGTAATTTCATTTAAAAAATTGTTGCACTAAATATATCGAAATTATTCAGTAACTAATAGGTATAGAATTATGTTCCATACAGTTAAATTAAAAAACAACAATTTCTCAAATATAGGATAAATTATTTAAGAAGTTGTTACATACAAGTTATATTATTTGGTACATGTAGACCATATTCAATCTAACATCTAAAAACTTATTCATAAAATAAAAAAATACCGTAATACTCAAATGTAGCGTATATGTTGCTTTCACACAATTTGTCGAATATAGTTCTTCAGAATTCTATCGTAAAGGCATAAATGAATTACCATTACATGGCTACAACGTATCGATAATAAGGGTAAATATTTGAATTAAATGAATATGTCATATCTTAGAAAAAAACGAGTATCAATTTTTCAGTACTAATATACAATTCCATACTTCAACATTATTAATACTTACATGGAGACTGATCGCATCAAAGTTATTTTTACAAGAAAAATTATTTAAAAAATACATTGGATTTATAAAAAAAAACCATACGTATATATGATTAACACGTTTTTATATATCAATATTTAATCATTGATATGATATTGATAGAACGGAAATAACTTTCAACTATGTTCGAATATCCAACCCTACAGCATTTTTTTTCTTTTAAAATATTATATATATTGAGACATTGAATGGAAAGAATCATTTGATTTATTCAATTTATAACCTTAAATTTAAAATTTCTTTACTTTAGCAATTCTTATTGTCATATTAGTTGATATTGATATATCAGTTATAATTGTGACTACTATATCTCAAACTTCGTCATGGTCTCTGCATAAATCTCGCAATATATAAACAGACAATAGATATATAGTGAAATCTATTCCTTTATAGATATACAGTTTTGTAAAATAATAATAAAGTATTTCTTAATAAGCTTCGGGGTGAGTGACTAACACATAGTTGAATTAACTAATTAGTGATCCAATATACGCAATTCAGAGTAAGCTAATCATTCCATTAACTAAGTATGTAAAATAAAACGTATATTAAATAGAACTTCTGTAAGTAATTCATCATTCACAGATCGTCTGTTTAATAGATACAGTCTACACTGCACATAACTTCTAAAACAATTACCAAGGTGAGTAATAACTTTAATATATAATATTTATATATATTTTACATAATTTCTCAATTTTGCTTTAACAAACGCGGTATCATTGATATCATTATTTCTCTTACAGATGACTCGTGCAATCGTAATCATTGCAGTGATCTGTTGGACTGGTATATCAGCAGCTGTTCCTTCTTATCCAGTATACATTAATCCATATCCTGAACACAGAGGAGATATAAATCCTCTAAAGGCTATTGATGACATCCCTTCGAATGCGTATGAGTAAGTTTGGACACCATATTATATTCTACTGCTAATGTTACTAATTTCCTAAAAGAAAGTTTTCTTTTCAATAATTATAGTTCAAAGGTGATCAAGATTCATGTCTTACTCGATTTCTGTGGGGTCATTTCATACAATTCGATATATAAGCAGACCTCTCTATTATAATTATTCCATGCCCAACTACTTATATAGAGAGCTGATATATATAGTTTAGTATTAAGTATAGATTGAATAGGAAGTGAAGAAACTAGTTGTGGACTTATTAATTATTGTTAAATCTTATTATTTAAATTTATATTCTATTTCAGATACCATATTATTCCCAGTGATGGATATCCTCTTGCCGAGTTCGACAGTTCCGCTCAATGGTCTATCCTTGATTACATTCCCAGTCCTATCGTAAGTTTGATTCTCAACTAATATAGATATTACAACTATATTTAATTATATAACTTTGAACATGGTTGCTAAATATAAATTTAATTTCAGACTGCAATTACTAAAGTGGCATCAAAAGCTCTTAGTGTAACCAAATGGTTCATAATCAATGGTGGATTGGTAGTCCTCGGAATGGCTCTAGTAATCGGTTTCTGTGCTTTCACTCCATATTGCACATTGATAATTGAAAAACCTTTCGCAAGAAAAATCCGATCACTTAATATTCCATACTTAGATGACGTAGAGTTATATCTGAAAGAAGCTTATACCAAATATCACGCAATGCAAGAGGACTAATTTTATTTATTGTAACTTAGGTAGATATGACTTATTTATTCTTTTAATTAATAAATATAAACATAATTTAATAAAAGTCTTTTATTACTTCATCCTAATTAAAAATATTCGAGAAACGGTAGGAATATTCATTTATTCTTAATCATTCAAATAGTCAGGTAATAAAAATTAGTAATAATAAAAATAACAAAAAATTAGGAATGGATATATTTATTTTAATTAGCGAACTTGACATATTTTTAAACAACAGCATTCCACATTCTACAGCACTCATACATTATAAAATAAAATAATGAATTTAGCACAATAGTATCTGTTAATGCATCTATCTAATCATATACATGTAAAATTGTCTAATGTCTAAATATAAAGTTGGAATGTATATTCAAAATTAGTAAAGAATAGATCGACGCCTTCTGTTGCTCGTTATATCAGCAACTGTTTGTATCTTTTGATATTTGTTAATGGCAGTCTTGACGAAATCTGCGGCGTTACTAATCTTTTCTAATCTCTCGGGAGAAATTAGAGATCTCATCTCCTCGTGAATAGGTCCAATGCCATTGAAGGTTATAGCGCAGAGATTAGTGTAGGAACAAATACCAACAGTCAGAAGAGATCCAAGGAATAGTGTGAACATACTTCCAAATATCCATGTGATAGTTCTACCCACATAACTTACAATTGTCTGAAAGTAAATAATAACAAAAATATTATTTTTCCAAAAGTACATTTTTCGATTTTTTTTTGATACAATTTGAAAATGAAGCACTTACCCTAGAGTCAGGCACTTGACTCCACAATAATCCGAATGCTGAGGTGTCAGGCTCGATGAAATAATTACTAGGGCTGTTTACATACATGTCATGTCTGCAAAAATAAATAAATCCTGAAGTAGTAAAAAGACACAAAACTATAACTATCGTTATATACGATTGATAGAAATCCATTAAGAGCATCGTCCTTAAATAGTTTCCAAACGATGTAGGTAAGTTTGATTTTTGTGAACACCGAATGAACTTTGTATATATTTGATAACACCTAAAGGACTTACTGAAGACAAAAATACCGACAACAAGACAAATCTATTTTGAAATTCGCCGGTTATTTAGAACTCAGCCCTGTTTTTTTTTCTAAATAACACTATAATGTACTATTTTTAAGTGTAATGTGACATTTGCATTCACGACGTCGTCGAAAGATGACAATGTGATTAACTATCCATCTGGGAAGTATAGATTGAGATTACATAATTTTAATAATCTTACTAATATTATAAACATGATAGTATACTATAGAATCTAATATATAGTACAATAGTATTGTAGAATATTATTATTCTATTACAGAAATCCCCTTTTAATTTCGGTCATGTATTACTAGATCTGTCTGCTACCGTCAACCTAATAGAAATATTAAAATGTAAAATAACTGTTTACCCGTGAGAACCGGAGTATGCAGCGTCATATGTATATCCGGGCGCATATGGAATATCAGGATAAGCCACTTCAACTGGATTTGCTACATATGCATAACCAGGAATAGCTAAGTTATCCTAAAAATTAAATACATTTAAAAAATCAGCAGTAAACTAAAAACACATGAATTATAAAAAAATTGTGTTTAATAAATTAATATCTACTGTAGTATTGTTTTGTCTATATTCCTAATTCATTTCATAGTCAAATTAATTATTGAGTAATTTAATATTATTTGTATTATACTTACAATTCTGCTTAATTCCGTACTACCATCAACTGGTTGGTCAGCTAACATTTTCTCATGTTTAATAACAGGTCCTATTGGTTTGACAGGTTCTATATTAGCTCGTCCACCATTTTTGTATTCATCTCCATTGTATACTGGATGTTTAACTGATTCAGATTCAATTTCTCTTTTAATAATCGGTTCCGTTTTCAAATCTGGTTTGAAACTAGTGTGTTTCTCTAGCATAGCATAAGATGAGGAAACTTCCGCCGTTGAAAGTCCAGCAAAAAAATCACTTGAAATAACTATTACCAAAAGTACTGATGATGCTCTAAACATCTAGAAAACATATATAATGTATTACTAATATTAGATAATTAGGTATATAATAGAAAAAGGATTTGTGTAACAAAAATATTAATTAATATAAAACAATTAGTTACGTTTAGACACAAATGTAACGTTATAAAAAGTTAAGGGTTTTTTTACAATACAGCTTGTTATTATATTTAACATATACAGTAAAAATGCAGTAAAAATGAAAACTGTTACTTACCTTGAAAGTTTTAGTTTACTATCCTTAACTAATACCCAAATTGAACTAACGTATTTTAGTTGTTGACTCTGGTTTTATATATATTGTCATTATTTCTTTCATAGGATGGGTCCTTGTTTTATTTTATCTTCTGACATTCTGTTGCAATAATACGAAGCGATAAAGATTCGTCAACCCTATGGAATGTGCCAAAAGAATTGCTATTTGTAAAACATTTTTTTCTTCTATTCAGTAGTTATCGCGTTGCGGTATTTACGAAGATGTTTCAAGTTAAAATTATCCATGAGTCTAATAGGGAGTACTCGTAGATATTAATGTTTCTAAACTCATTGGTTTTGTCACAAACTAGAAAGTTTAATACTAAGAAGTATAATATCGTAGCACGGGATATTAAAATCAGTATATATGTATAAGGTGTAAGTGGAAGATTGATCTAGCATGTTAATTGCTCTTTCTAATAGAAGACGGTCATGTAGGTACGGCTTCTGATTACGAAGTCTTATGGGGGTGGTTCTTATGCATGATAATGGAATGGTGCATCCGCCTGCGCTAACGGCTTACGCTGAGGAGGTACACGTGGAGGATAATAAGATGAGTATGAGGTCAGGTCAGTTAGCTCATCGTTGTAAATTTACCATGAATTTATCACGATGGTTTCCAGAGGAAATCACGTGGAGGTCAACCTGACACAGAACATTGCCGACTATGTGGTTATTAGTCCAGTTTACTAACAATCCATGTGGAAATGGTTTGAATATTGTAAAATTATATTATTGCTCAAACCTACATTCGTATTTTAAATCCATTTATGATTCATTGCGTTCACCTGTCACTAATATCGATTGGTCACAAAAGGTCACTGTAAAATAGTTTCAAAGAAACCACCACAAATACATAGGTACCACCTATTTGTTTGTGTTGGTCCTTTGTTTATTAAACAACCTACCTCAATTTTATTAAGTAAGTTTATTGTTAATTTAAATTAATGGCGCAAACAACAAATGTAGCTACTATTTTTTTATTTTAATTCCATTTATGTCTCTATTCGTCTACTATCTATTAAAATATATAAAAGCCTCCTCTAGAATCACACTATCAAAAAAAAAATCCGTTCCGTTGCGTAGTTTTAAAGATTTAAGCATACATCGGCAGCGACTATATTTTATACTATGTAATAATAATGATGATGATGATATTCAATTAAAATAGTAAATGCCACTGAAACGGCCAACCGGAACTTGTACTATGGGTAAAATAAGTAGTATTTTTAATAATAATATTTAGCTGCGAATATATAAACTTATAAACTTACTAATACATTTTTTTCACATTAATACAAATAGTTTGATTATAATTAAAGATTCAAAATAAGACTGTCTGTCTTACTAAACTATCAGTTCTAATGTCGCTAAATTGTCACTAGTTGCTCATAATTTAATCTACGTTATTCATAATTTAAGGAAATTGTACATCAGTTTATGATCAATTATTATGTAACATTTAAATTGTCAGTCCTTAATCAGAACCCGCTGCATGCAGCAGTTTAATCTAGTGAGTTACGGAATGGGTAATCGTCATTATTAGGATATATATTGAGAAAAGTTTTTTAATGTAAATTGTGTAACCATGTCATTCATTTTAGCTGTTTGATTCAATTAGGATACATACAATACATACTACAGTATTTCTGTGATATTTCTCTTGTTTCAACAGAATGAAAACTTGATAATAGTCTTCGTAATGCAAAAGAGAACAATCAATACTAATAAAAATTTAAAAGAAGTTGCTAAGCACGCAGCTGTTTTATGAATAAGTAACGCAAATAGGTCTGTAATATATCAATCGATCAAATCTATTTTTGCTAACGAAATAACAATTGAAACTAATTTAAGACGTTCAACTTTCGGAAATACTAATAGCCTATGTTTTCGTCTTTTGTGAATGCGCCGATCTCACCCTAAAGAAAACTTTCCGTTGAAGTCGAAACTATTGTCGCGAAAGACATAGTAAAGTCATTAAATTCCCTCACGTTGATATAAAAATATCGATGCAAAATTTTACGGAGGTTATAAAAATAATGAAAATGATGTTATCTTTAATATTATCATATAACAGAAATAAAATTATAGTCCTACGTAGACTAGCAGTTGCACATTACCTCAACTTTCAATGGTTGTGGGTTCTCTTCTCACACAAGGAAATTTGTACAGGATTGTTTGTATTAGTCTGAATGTGTTATATATATCAATGTAATTAGATATAACACATTCAGAGTATAAATATCTAATATGTGTAATTTTTATATATTTAATAAGTACTTTTTTATTACTCAATGATCGCGAAACTGCAGACCAGTATGTATTATATAATATTCACCCAGTAGTACCCATAATATTAAAATGTAAACTGTAAAAAATTCATAATGTCAAATAAATACTATAATATATATTATTTTATTCATCAATTGCATAATATATGCATAATGCCATTAGGGACCCATCGAAGAACGAGTAAATAAAGTAGTAATAGTAGTGATAAAATATATTTTCAGTTGCCTACGGAAATATTATAGAATAGTAAAGTAAGCATAGCCTGAGTAAACACATGTCGTATTGATCAATCGATATTGAGCGAGTCAACATCTACATGACACGTTAAATATTGTACAGCTTACCAACCTAACATAGGTACCACTAATGGGCGTACCTAGGAGGGAATAGGGGAGAGCCACTGACCTTCCATGAAAAAGGTGTGCAATACATTATGTATTCAGTTTTGAAAAAACCTTGATCTGGCCTAAAAATCTATCTTGTCTACTGTCTAGGCTAAAAAGAAACCAGACTTATAAGAGTTCGAATCTTTTAAGTTAGTTAGAAATCTAATAGGTACTAAATATATTAAACTAATAAAAGTATAAAATATTACACAGCAAAGTATGTTTATATTGTTTAAAAATACTTAATAATTCAATACTTTTACGATTAGTCACTCATTTCACTCGGACATCCTTAACGCACCAACCAAGATAAATATTCTAAGAAAGCATCAGTCTTATCAATAATATGCACGAAGTTTATCAGTAAAGGTAAGACCATCTTTATTGTCGTAAAAAGGACGGATATATTGTTATTGTCATCAGTCAAGATGATTAATGAACGAGGACCAAGGACCCACGATTATTTTAAATATATAGAGACGCTCATTTACATTTCAGACTTAGTAATAGCACAAAGGTTGTAGTTATTGCTTCACGTATTCCTAAAGTAAATTAATCTTCATTTTGTTAACATCATAGCCAATTGGTTTAATAGCATGATTTATAGTCCTTAAAGTTTAAATTTGTATCTATTTCGGACTAGCGCTCCAGTCATTGTAGCACCGATAACAAACCAAATTAAAACGAGAGACAGCTCAGTAGGTCGATCTCACTGACTGAAACGTGGGTAGTCTACTTGTTAAACCTAAGATTTCTCCATCTACCATTACAGACGTGATATTATTATTTTATTAATAATTTTGAACATAAATGTCTATTTATACATTTATATCTATATAGACATTTAGCGCTCCACAGACTCCATAAAAAATACAGGTAGTAGGGCTACTTACCGCTTTACATATTCCCAAAACAACTTTATTTCCGCGTCCATACAAGCAGTCATAATCGTTTTCTTATTATAGTATCACAATGTTTTAAACATAAATAACTATGTTCACTAATGTAATGTTTAGCGACTAAAACCGTTAATAGGTACTCTTTCATATATTCATACTTATATTAATATTTGTTATTATGATACACTTATTCAAAATATGAAGGTTCTCATCAATATTGTTAAATATACCTAAATACTGTTTTTATGATCTGTACACAAAGTTACTAAAAATAATATCGAAAGTTATTCTATAGTTCTTTGTTAGTCAGTTTAGGAACACAATATTTAATAAGTTTTTCGCCATTGATAACAAGAATTAGTCCAATCAACACGATCAAACATAGTGGGGCTTGTATAGTGACTACCCGCCGGTCGTATTCCAACCTCGTGGTAAGTATTATAACACGTGGAGGTTCAGGGTTATATCTATCGATTCTTATTCACAACCGAACACTTTGGAGAAAATCACATTTACACCTACAACCAATTTTACAACAGTAGGTAATTTTTCATAATTACACGTATCTACTAAAAATAGGTGGTGGATAAGCGAAGTACCTATTCTACCCAACTTTACTTATTTTACCATTATTTATCTAGTAAATTGAAATTATATGTAATAAATAAAAAACGGCGTCGACAGAAAAATCTAGTCGTCCAGATATAATTTTAAATTAGAAACAAGCATACGGCGTACCATATGGTATATAATAATCATGACCTATATACCTATGTACATACAACAGCAATAAATACTTTACGTTATCATATGGTGACCGTAAAACCACTTATGCAGTGCCATTTCAGAGAACATATGTAGATGCAAGAGACATGACATCGTCAGTGACATCTTTTCAAGCGGGCTTTAAATTGCATTAATGGTTATTTTCAATTCTGAAAGGCGTTACATTACTGGAATCAAACAAACAAGGAGCTACATTATTTATTGTTGTTTTCTGTGTTCAATTTGTTTTTTTTTTTTCAAAATCATAATAAAATAAATTTTTGAATAAATGAAATTGTGTAAAAATTCTTTTGGCAATTTATAACTAAATAATTTGATATTCAACAATAAAAAAATATATATCAGTGTGCTAGCAAAAAAATAAATTTTAATTTAGGAGAAATCTAATAAAGTTAAAGTTTAGTTTCTACAGTTACATTGTTTTAAATTTTTTTAATTAGTTATATGCACTCACATTTATTTAAATCCCTTTTAATTGCAAATTTACTATTTATATTAATTGAAACTAAATTAACTGAACTGAACAAAAATAATCTCTCCTGTCTTTTTCCATATTTATATTTTCGTAAATAGTGATTTAATAAACTCATTAAAATATTATTAAGCATGAAAATAGGTTTTTAATCGTGTTTATAACACTTACTATATTACTTTATATATCCTGTGATGATTGTAAGTAAAAAATAAACATAGAGTTTAATTTGATCGTTATTTTATATTTTTTACTTACAAAAGGTACCCTTTTGTAACGTAAGAGTTAATCTTCAAATAATGGCAACACTAAAGTTAAAACTTCAAATTGATTGAAGCTATATACCCATGGTACCATGGTCTTAATAAAATTAAAAACAACTTCGAATTTTAAAAAATATTGCCGAAATCAGAAGGAAGAATAATATACCGGTAAATCAAATATTTATTGATATTTTATACTTCAAAATTTCTTACAATTATTAAGAGATATTCTATCATTTTAAAATTGTATTACCTTGAACAAAATACCAAAAATAAAGAACAAGACCCAAGTCAAACAATATTCTAGCATTTAAATTAAAACAAGTTGGTAGATACTATTATATATAACATTTATTAGTAATGTAATCTCTATATTTTTAACTATTATCACAGTCTATTACTACATTATTAATTATGAGATGTCAGATTATTATGGAACATGGTTTATGGAGCCAATAACCACTAAACCTGGAATGACTTAAGTATCAACTATTATTTAACTATTAACACGAATAGCCAAACCTATATTTTTAATTCCATTTTCAAAAAAGATATTCTCAAAAACAAAAAAGTACTATAAAAATCTAATCTTGACACTATAACAAGTGAGTAATGACAGTCCATACAACAGTATCTTTTGTATGTTTCATCATGAGTATAAAGAAACTTCCAGAAACTGTTAAATCTTTATTATCATCTTCGGCATCTATCAGCACCTATAGAAGAGCCATTGAAGAATTGGTACATGATTCACTATAACATTATGAAAATTCCTACTTTTATTTCTAATGTAATATTTTTCCTTATATTTTCAGGTATATAATTCCTTAGATGCTAGTTCTACTTCTATTGCCATAAGGGTCCACATTGAAGAAAATAAAATACAGGTCATTGACAATGGCCAAGGAATTACAGAATGTGATTTTCACTTACTCGGACAAAGACATACTACAAGTAAATGTGTTGACTTGAATACTTTGAAATCAGCTGCCAATACCTATGGATACAGAGGTCAATCTTTGGCTAACATTATCAATATCTCTCAAAATGTTCAGATAACATCTAGATCTGATGGCCAGGAGGTAACATGGCTGAAGATATTTCATGAAGGTAAAACAAAAGAATTAATAGAAACTACAATGAGACCATCAAAAGGAACTACAGTAAGTGAATATTTTTCTGCACCCATTGTTTCATTTTATTTAAACATGTTATTATTTTTATACTTCCATTGTTGCATTAACTATTTATAAGAAAAGTGAATTAGCATGATCCAGTGAATCTAGTGACACAATAGGTACCTAATAATATATGTTTTGTCCCTTTAATTTTGTTAATTCTCATCCCAGAATATATCATACCTACAGATAAAAGCCCTGTTTTCAATTATACTCTACTATTCATATATGTAATACTATTGTAATAATTAAAAATAAAATGTAATATAATAAATGATTCAGAACACTCACAATTTAACAAAAGTATGTTACATATGGTGACAATGAGCTGCCTTTTCATTTTGAGGTAGAATATTCTGATTCTAATATATTTTGTACTATATAATTGATCGTAATATTTATATGAATAAAAAAGAATATTAGAAGTGTTTTTATTGTGTATTAAAATTGTAAAAATATATTACAGGTTGAGATAAAAGGATTTTTATACAATCTTCATATACAAAGGAAAGCTGTTCAGACTTTGATTGAATTGAATGAAATAAAGACATTCATACAACAATTTTCATTAATACATTGTGATGTATCATTAAGTTTAAGAGATGATGCTAAAAATGAAATAATATTTAAAGCTCAGAAAAACAGGGATGTGTGTCAAACAATAAAATTATTGTTTAGTATTGATCCTCATGATATACAGCAATTTAGTGTTGAAAAAAATGAATATAAAGTGAAAGCATATATTGTGAAGAAATATAAAGATACTGGACAAATCCATTGGATTTATTTGAATGGAAAGTTTCTTTCTAATTGTATATTACACAAGATAATAAATGAGAAAATGAAAAAATCTTGGATAAAACCACAGATGTCTAAGACAAAGGTAACATTTTGTATTCTTATTTATTATTTAAATCCATTAATTTACTATAACTAAAATAAAATATTTTGAGCATAAAGAAAGTTTATGATACCTTCAATGGCAATTTTGTAGCATCATAATCAACATCAATCAATAGATTATAATTTTTGCAACCATATAATTTTATGGTAACCCCATGTTAGGTTAACCCTTTAAAATATGTTATCTTGAAATTTAACTTCAACTGTTTATTTAACCTTAGAAGGTTAACTAAATTATTAATTGGTAACACTAATTTATTATGACTTACACTAAGTTATCATGTAATTTTGTCTCATATTGTTACTAGTTCATTAAATTACCTTACTTATTTAATACATATATAGCCATTTATTTACTGTCATGTAACCCTAATCATATTTTATTTTATTATTGTAGGGTAATATGGAAAATGAAGAAATTGATTGCATGAATAAAATTCCATTTTATCTAATATTGTTATCATGTCCATATTATGACTATGATATTAGCCATACACCAAAACAAACAATATTAGAATTTAAAAGTTGGAATGAAATTACAAAATTACTAAATAAATTGATAAAATTTTACATTGGTGATGATAATTTGATGAAACGATTAGAACCAAAAAAGAAGCTTCCCGAAGAAAAAGTTGATGATACTAGAGAGCAAGTAAGAAAAATTGTACAAAGACTGTTAAAAAAGAATATTAAAAATGTTGGAGTCTCCCAAATGCAGAATAGTGTGAAAGGTAATAAAATATAAAGACAATTATTTCAACAAAATATTTTAATGTTGTACTAAATGAATAGTATAGTGAGAACAACATATTTATTATTTATATTCATTATAATTATTATAAATATAAATAGTGAATATGTAAGTATCTAGAGTGACTTTAAAAAATGTAACAATTGATGCAATTTTAATTTGTCTTTTACATACACATATCAGCACTAGACAAAAGTGTAGCGTAAAATTAGAGTGTATCCTGTATTACTCAGGAAATTTTCTTGATGCATGTAGGAAAGTGATAGTTTGCCGATATCCTATGTATTAAAAAATAAAGTTTACTTAGTTAATAAAGTTGTAAATTATTAAAAATACACTATTTCAGTAGTATACACTGTCTCAGCATATTGCACCCAAACTATAAACCGGCCTTACCCTCTTGAATTATGTGTTTATCTAAAAAATAACCCATTAATATACCAAATTTTATTCAACTGTAGTCATTGAAAAGTAATATAAATCCCATTGTTTATATACTTCCCCATTTAGAGTATTAGTAAAAATTGCGTTTTTTTAAATTGGATATGTTATCAGGTAAATCAATGAAACGAAAGATTAAGAAAAAACAACCAAATATAAGCTTCTCAAAAGTTATACCACCTAAAATAATTTCTGTAGTAACAACAGACAAGAAATCAGATAGTATCATACAAAGAAAATCTAATGAAATTCATGATAATAAAAAAGAGGGAGTAAAGAATGTAGTAAAATTAAAAAATTTAAACATAACTAAAAAGAAACATAAAAAAAGAACAAAACTGATATTAAAAAATGAATACAAGAAAAAAATATCAGATGAAATTTGTAATAACTATAAATTTATGAGTAAATCTCCAACAATGAAGGAACATAATTCTGATCTATTTTCATCAAATATAAATTCAACTAAATCTAGGAAGGAACCAAGAAATGAAAATTTGAATGAAAGAAATGGAATTAACAAAATAAATCTAGATAAAGATATTAGCATCGTAGATGCATTAAATAGCTTTAATGTGTCTACGATGTTAGACATTACTATGCAACAGTCAGCAGAAAATTTAGAAGTAAATGAAACAGCAAAGAATAAAAATAAGCAATGTAGTTATATAATAGATAATCAAAATACATCATTGTGGAAAAAAATTGATGAAATTACTATTCACAACTTCCTACCACATCCACTGAAGTCTACTCAACTTTCTCATAATGTGCAAACCATAAAGAAAGGCAATGAAAATAAAGAATGCTATATATCTTCACATAACATTTTGAAGACCATTTTAAGTGCTCAACAGTGCAATGTATCTACCATATCCAAAGGTAGTAACCCCTCTATTTCTAGAATAACTTATCAGCCTTGTAACTTTAACTTGAAAAGTATAAATCCAAGTATTACATCCAATGGTATATTTATATCTAAATTGACATATGAAAGCCACAACTACAATAGAAATGACAATCCACAAAATATGTGTACCTCGAAAAATAAAAAATCCAAATGCCAATTTATTACAATGCAATCTAGGAACAATTTTCTCAATCGCGAAGAAACATATACTTCGATGTCTAAAAATAAAAAACCTCGAATAGTGTGTAAACAATCCAAGATAAAAGGAAACAAAATTAATAAAGCAAACAAACGATATGAAGTATGGAAAGGTATAAATAGTAAAAGTTACACCCATGAGTCAAAATACACAATCGAGTTTTCCAAAAACGCCAAAAATCTATTATGTGACCAAATTGACTCTAAAATTAATGCTAGCAAAACACCTTTAATTGTTAGTAATGTAAGAAAAAATGAAACCATAGACATGTTCAGTGATAAAGAGAATTGTATAAGTGAATCAATTAAGGCAGATATAGGTAACACTTATCCTATATTATCAATTTGTAGTACAACAGAGTATCCATTAGTATATTTTAAAAATAGTTCCCTATCAAATAATGCAAATTATGATAATAAAACTATTCATAATACTGAAATCAATAAATATTATAATAAGTATGGCAATAATCTTAATTATAACGAAACACTAAATTCTGAAATTTCCCAAAATAATGTGACTTTTTCAAGAAATATTGAATCTATCACATCTGTGGACAATATAGAACCTATTGATGTTGTTGAAACTGCCATAAATAATAAAAGCGATGATATTTTAGGAACGGAATTTGAACTAAGTTCTCAATGTAATGAATCAAACAATACATTTTGTAACAGTTTAGCACAAAAAGCCGCTATTAGTAATTTATATGAAATAAAACATTCTATTGTAGCAGAATCTTCACATTGCTATATATCACTTCCCGTTGGTGATAATATTAGCAAAAATACATATAATCCAATTATTAACAATAATTCAAATGAAGACCCGGTGTGTATAAATATAAATGATAAATGTAATGACGAGCCTTCTATCATGTGTGAACAATTTAATATGAATATGAATACTAACGGAGCACCACCAGTTGTTAGTAAATTAAGAAATATCGAAACGATGGGTAATGTCAATAATAAATGTAATTATGTATGTAAATCAGATGATGAAGATATGGATAACACTCACCTTATATTATCCAATCATATTAAGACAGGGAGTCATAGAATATTTAATGAAAATTTTGCGCTATATACTCACACCAATAATCGCAATGAAACAATTTGTGACGGTAATAAAAACAAAAATCATAAAACCTATTCCAATGAAGTTAACAATAACAAATCTGCAAATTGTGAAATTATCCAAAATGTAATTGTTCCAATCGATATTGAGTCTAATATATCTTTAGAAAATATACAACCCATAGATGTTTGCGAATCAATTATTAAAAACAAAATTGATGATATTTTGAGAAAAGAATTTGAATTAAGTTTTAAATGTAATAATCAAAACAAGACTTTTCATAGCATTTTACCAAAAAACGCTAGCATGACTGATTTATATGAAATAGAACATACTATTATGGATGAAACTTCACGCCACTTCAAATCATTTCCCAACAATGAAGATAATAGTACTAAAAAATCATATAACCCAATCATACTCAACAAGTCAAATGAAGTGCAAACAAATTGTGAAAATATACACGAAGAATATGGTAGCAGCATGCATGGAAATATTGATAATGTCATACACACTGATCTTAAAAACTTTAACATGCAAACTAGATTTAACTTTATACCTAAAGGTACGTAAGAATGAATACTTAGAAAGATCATGTAATACTTAGAAAGGTCATAATATTTAATATTACCTGTGTACTTTGTGGAATTTAATATTTTTTTTCTCTTAAAGGTCTATCGCCTATCTTTCAAAACTGTTATACAAACAATGCTTGTGAATGCAGTTTTGAAAAGGATTACTTTGAGAATGTAAGAGTTCCATTTCCATGTTAATTATTACAATTAAAATAGTTATCAGGCCTTAGTCAATCAACTCTGTTAAAATTTTCCAGAATGTATACCATAACTTCATGAATAATGTGAATATTGGTTCAGAAATATTCAAACCAATATTACACAATACTTCTAATATGAATACTAAGTGCATTGAAAGAGTTAAAACAAAGCTTCAGAAAGAAAATGCTTCTATAACTTTTGATGCAACTGCTTTGAAATGTGCTAAGGTAATAACTTGACACTTGTATCCAATAACTTAAGGCATACATAGACATAAAAAGACAGTTCCCAAAAATCTGAACTAATTACCACTCATACATAATACAGACTGTTAATAGTTAATTGGCAGAAGAAGTAATTTATATGATCTCCACTATGAGATGATAATAGAGTGAGGACCTCAATTGTACTGTTAGATAAAAAAACTAAAGATTCTGATTTTTCGTCATCACTCTGCAGTAATGTATTATAGGTTTCATACATAAAAAGGTTAGTCAGAAAACTAAACCAAGCCGTTAGCACTAACATATTACAAATAACTAATTCATCCCCCATGATATTATTTCAGAAATCAATTTGTTTAGTTTTACAAAGAAACGGCAACCCTATTATTTGATATTTAAAAAAACAGCCGATTTGATTACTGAAATGATAAGAGGGGAGCGAAACCAAAACAGCACGGTTCCGATTTTCATTAATTACTATCAATATCTAATGATAGCTGATATTAGGACTGTGTTTTTTAATATAGCAAATGAACAAATTTTTTTCTCAAAAAAATATATGGTTTCAGAGAAAGTTGGGTGGGTACTTGGGTTATTACTACATGGGTACTTTCATATCTTTGCAGCTTAGTATACCCTTTCCAAACAATAACTATTATGTTAATTTACAATTCACCAAATCAAATATTTTATTAATATATATATACAACTTTAGTTACATCTTTTCAGGTATTGGGTCAAGTGGACAATAAATTCATTGCAGCTATTGTAAAACCAAAATCTGAATTAACTAACTGTCTAGTTTTATTTGACCAGCATGCCGTACATGAACGGATACGACTGGAGACAAACTTGTCAGGTAGTGATTATTAAGTTTGAATAATGTGTCCCGAAACGAGTAACAGTTGTATCGTACAAAATAATCTTGTAACGGATTGGTGAACTGTACGGATGTCTGAACGTGCCGTAGAAACATTTGTATTCATGAGTATATTTGTTTGTATATCTGGGTGTTTTCTATGTATATTCAAATTCAAAAAAATTCAAAATTCTTTATTTAGATAACACCATTTTACAATTACATTCTACAGTTGTTGAAGACTCCTTTTAAGCATAAAGATGCCTGTGCCAGGAGGCTCCGCTCTTCCATACCTTATATCACCACTTTTGTAAAATGTTTCTTGTTTATTATACTATAAATAATTAGTTATATAATCAATTTTAACGTACATACATTATAGGAAACATTGTATTCATTATTGTGTGTGTGTGTGTGTGTGTGTGTGTGTGTGTGTGTGTGTGTGTGTGTGTGTGTGTGTGTGTGTGTGTGTGTGTGTGTGTGTGTGTGTGTGTGTGTGTGTGTGTGTGTGTGTGTGTGTGTGTGTGTGTGTGTGTGTGTGTGTGTGTGTGTGTGTGTGTGTGTGTGTGTGTGTGTGTGTGTGTGTGTGTGTGTGTGTGTGTGTGTGTGTGTGTGTGTGTGTGTGTGTGTGTGTGTGTGTGTGTGTGTGTGTGTGTGTGTGTGTGTGTGTGTGTGTGTGTGTGTGTGTGTGTGTGTGTGTGTGTGTGTGTGTGTGTGTGTGTGTGTGTGTGTGTGTGTGTGTGTGTGTGTGTGTGTGTGTGTGTGTGTGTGTGTGTGTGTGTGTGTGTGTGTGTGTGTGTGTGTGTGTGTGTGTGTGTGTGTGTGTGTGTGTGTGTGTGTGTGTGTGTGTGTGTGTGTGTGTGTGTGTGTGTGTGTGTGTGTGTGTGTGTGTGTGTGTGTGTGTGTGTGTGTGTGTGTGTGTGTGTGTGTGTGTGTGTGTGTGTGTGTGTGTGTGTGTGTGTGTGTGTGTGTGTGTGTGTGTGTGTGTGTGTGTGTGTGTGTGTGTGTGTGTGTGTGTGTGTGTGTGTGTGTGTGTGTGTGTGTGTGTGTGTGTGTGTGTGTGTGTGTGTGTGTGTGTGTGTGTGTGTGTGTGTGTGTGTGTGTGTGTGTGTGTGTGTGTGTGTGTGTGTGTGTGTGTGTGTGTGTGTGTGTGTGTGTGTGTGTGTGTGTGTGTGTGTGTGTGTGTGTGTGTGTGTGTGTGTGTGTGTGTGTGTGTGTGTGTGTGTGTGTGTGTGTGTGTGTGTGTGTGTGTGTGTGTGTGTGTGTGTGTGTGTGTGTGTGTGTGTGTGTGTGTGTGTGTGTGTGTGTGTGTGTGTGTGTGTGTGTGTGTGTGTGTGTGTGTGTGTGTGTGTGTGTGTGTGTGTGTGTGTGTGTGTGTGTGTGTGTGTGTGTGTGTGTGTGTGTGTGTGTGTGTGTGTGTGTGTGTGTGTGTGTGTGTGTGTGTGTGTGTGTGTGTGTGTGTGTGTGTGTGTGTGTGTGTGTGTGTGTGTGTGTGTGTGTGTGTGTGTGTGTGTGTGTGTGTGTGTGTGTGTGTGTGTGTGTGTGTGTGTGTGTGTGTGTGTGTGTGTGTGTGTGTGTGTGTGTGTGTGTGTGTGTGTGTGTGTGTGTGTGTGTGTGTGTGTGTGTGTGTGTGTGTGTGTGTGTGTGTGTGTGTGTGTGTGTGTGTGTGTGTGTGTGTGTGTGTGTGTGTGTGTGTGTGTGTGTGTGTGTGTGTGTGTGTGTGTGTGTGTGTGTGTGTGTGTGTGTGTGTGTGTGTGTGTGTGTGTGTGTGTGTGTGTGTGTGTGTGTGTGTGTGTGTGTGTGTGTGTGTGTGTGTGCGTGTGTGTGTGTGTGTGTGTGTGTGTGTGTGTGTGTGTGTGTGTGTGTATGTAATCTTGCACAACAGTTTTAGCATTGATAACAATGATGCAGCAGTAATTCAGTTTCATTATAATTTAATGTTTTTATCCAATCTATTAGTATATTTTTACATTCACGATAATTTTTAGGGTATATAGCTATCTTTTCATTTATTGTATTATACAAGAGTGCAGTTTGCTTTTCACATTGTATACTCGCGAATTTGGTTTTCGTTTTTGGCACTGATAGAACTTTAAGTTTCCTTCTTTTTATTTTCTAAAGCTGGGTCATATGTAATTTGTTTATGCTTTTTTAAAACTGTGTTTAATATGTACAGTTTTCTCACAGACAAAAGATCCGTGATCCGGTATAAGTCATCAGTAGGAAATCGTCGGTTTTTCAAGTACATTACCTTGAGCAGAGCTCTTTGAGCTCTTTCTATTTCTAGGAAACGTGACTTGAATGCACCGCCCCATACAGGAATACAATATACTTGTGGAGACTTGTTCGATTTGGGGATACCAAGATAAACGCTGGTCAACTATAACACCTAAGTATTTTATATTACTCACTTTGTTTATAGTAGGGCAACTACACTTTATTCGCGGCGACTTAGATGCAGTGTTGGAAATAGCAGAACCATCTAATATCATAGAGTAAGAATTACAATTATGGATTTTAATATTGAAATCTTGTTCTGGCTGCGAGTTATTATAGACTAGCTGTACCCGCGACTTCGTCCGCGTAAAATAGTGAACTTGACTAAATAATGAAAAAAATATTTAATGATCTAACCCAATAAAAGCCTAATGAAAAAGTTTCATCATTTCATCTTCAAAAATGATACTTCCATACATAACTAACATACATAACTCTTTCAACCCCTTTATAAGGGGTTGAAAGAGTTCTTTTTCTTAATATATATTTAATAAATAGGCTAAAAATTAAACTTCAAGCTTCTAGCTTTAAAAATGACAATATTTCTATATAAACATTTAACTCTTCTTTAAATTCCTTACAACCCATTTTTCTTTATTTATATTTAATCAACAGCCTAAAAATCAGTTTCAGGCTTTGAAAATGGCGATATATCTATACAACCTTGCACCTTTCGATCCCCTTACAACCCTTTTCCACATTAAAAAATACCCTATATCCATTCTCAGGGTCTTCTAGATTATATGTTCTAAATTTCATTTAAATCGGTTCAGTAGTTTTGCAATGTAAGCGAGATCGAGAGTTATAATATTAGTGAAGTATTTAATAAATAAACCCAAAAAAGCCAATGAAAACAGTTTCATCATTCTAGCTTAAAAAGTCATGAATTTACATAAAAATTTTGATCCCCTATTTTATTGAACCCCATTAAGGGTAAAATTATTACAAACTATGAATCATCATCTCATCATCTTATATTTTAGGTTGGTCAATCATCACCAACCTAAAATATAAGTTTCAAGCTCCTAGCTTTAAAAATGACGATTCTTACGTACAACCGTGTTTTTTAACGTCAGGAAAAATCTTCGTAGAGGCCCACCGGCTTAGGGGCCAAATGGGGACTGCCGGATTCATATCGGCCAAAAACCTGGCGACTATTCCTCCTCGAACATGTCGCCGTAGCTATAGGATCGCATATGCATTCTCCAAGACTACCCGCACGGTTCCCATTGAAGGGACCTTTCATCTAGGCGTGCAGGGATAGCAGAATAGCCTCTGCACGCCACTGTAATGCCTCCCTTGTGAGCTTCGGATCGCCCTAACAATCCTCCACCCTAGGGTCAAATATGGATTCGATGGCCACGCTGATAGACTCAGGTGTCCATCGAATCCTCCCCTCCCGCCGGTGACCTGCGCTGCGGCCGCGGCCCTAGCCTTGGCAAGCGACACAATTTTGTGCTACCGACTCCATGGTCCGACTTGCGGTTAGCCGCAGCGCAGTACCAGCAACGTGGCGATGGCGCGACACATCTCGCGGTCTTGTGGCCGCCCTGACCACAGCGATAGCACCTATCGCTGCAGTCTTCCCCTGCAGTGCACCGTTGGCCTACGTGCCCCGTGAGCAAGCACCTTACCTTAATCCGACCCGCCTGGATTAGGGTTTAGGCTGCTGCAACCGGGCATCGCACCCAGTTTGAGCCCACGCCGGAGGGAGTGCACCGGACCTCGCCCGCCTGTATGCTTGTATCCTCCTCCCACTCGCGGCAACGACGTTCTCAGATGTTACTGAGTCGTCCAGGTCACATAGTCTCAGCTCAGCCGATTTCTCCGGCCTGGTGACCCGGACTTTTTCTACTGGCAAGATCACTAACCTTGCGGCTAGTGAGTTCGCTTTGTCGCCGGTATCGGCGCCTGGCACTTCTAGGATGCGACAACCAGTCACACCCAGCCGGAACCGTAGGTCGGACAACCTCGTATGCATGGCATGTACCCTTTCAATCCCTTATAACCCTTCTATCGCATCAAAAAGTATCCTATGTGCTTTCTCAAGATCTAGACTAATTGTGTACCAAATTTCACTTAAATCTGTTCAGTAGTTTTGGCGTGTAAGTGAGACTGACAGACAGACAGAATTACTTTTACAGTTATAATATTAGTAAGGTATTTAATAAACTAACTAAATTCAATAAAAAGTTTCATAGATCTGGCTCCAAAAATGGCGAATTTACCTAAAATCTTTCATCCCCCATCAACAGCCTCAAAAATAGGTTTCAAGCTCCTGGCTTCCAAAAAGACGAATTTACATAAAAACTTTCATCCCCTATTTTATTTTACCCCCTTAAGGGTAACATTTTTACAAAATTTCATGGCTTATTTATTTATAGTCAATCAACAGCCTCAAAAATCAGTTTCAAGCTTCTAGCTTCAAAAATGACGAATTTACATTCAAACTTTCATCCCCTATTTTATTTTACCCCCTTAAGGGTAACATTTTTACAAAATTTCATGGCTTATTTATTTATAGTCAATCAACAGCCTCAAAAATCAGTTTCAAGCTTCTAGCTTCAAAAATGACGAATTTACATAAAAACTTTCATCCCCTATTTTATTTTACCCCCTTAAGGTTAACATGTTTACAAAATTTCCAGGCTTATTTATTTATAGTCAATCAACAGCCTCAAAAATCAGCTTCTAGCTTCAAAAATGACAAATTTACATAAAAA